AAATTATTGGATAATTTATTCATAATCAAATTTAACTACGTAAATTATTATAAAAGATTATGGTTGGCAGGAACTTATGTTAATAATTTTTTTGAAGATTTAAAATTCAAATTTTAATAAAAAAAGAAGAGAAGAGAGTTTAATTTTATTTTTATTAAATTTTGTGTCTTTTTTATAATTTTTTCTTGAATCTTTCTTTATAATTTTTTTCATATATCTTTGTAATTTGAACGCAGAAAGCTACCTCTATAGCTTTGTGAAAAAATTAATTTTTTTTGAAAAAATGAATTTTTTTGGGAAAATTGCTGTTTGGATTCTTAATAGCAAAATCAATTTTTTCCCCTCAAAAAATCAATTAACGAGCTATCCAAGCACACACTAAAATGTCTGCTTTGTATGAAAAAATTATTTTTATAAATGTGAAAATAGAAGAAATAAAGGTGGAAGTATAAATAAAAAATGGATAGGAGTGAGATTTAAAAGTATGTTTAGAATATAAATCAAAATAAAATACAAATTTTATCTAATGTTATTTTTTATATCTTGGAAAACCTAAAATAAAAAAAATCCAAATAGCTTTATCTAACAACTACCGTTCTAGAAAATAATTGCATCCACAACTCAACAATAATTTTAATAAAATAATTAATCCAAAATTCAACAAAAATTTTTAAAAAATAATCAATCCAAAACTCAATAAAAATTAATCACAAAGAAAATTGCACAACTCCAAACAAGAAATTGAACATCAAAAAGTCACAAAAGAGTTGAAGTAGATCAAATAAGATGGGTGAAGGGATTGACGGGGTGAAAGAGGATATAAGAAGAAGAAGAAGAATATTAATCCCAAAAATATAAAAAACCAAAAGGGAAGCTATGGTGGGAGGAAGTTAGATGGTCAAAAAGCATCCTATAAGACCAGCAGCGATGGAAGAAGACAACAATGTAAATAATGATAGCGTTCCTCATAAGAGATTGGGTTTATGGACTTCTTGAATTTCTTGGTCTATTTCTCCTAATACAAGCTCAATTGATGGGCGTTCGTTGTCACCTTCCTCATTTTTTATGCCCCAAAATCGAAGGATTAGCTTGATAATGTTGATAGTAAAGTTGATTGTCATTTTAATGACATTGAGGATGAGATAAATGGGTATGATTTGGATGACAAGCTTATTCTGTGGTTGATGAGCAGCCACTTTGACAATAAAGGTTCTATTATTGCCTCCATCGTGATCTTTTATCGGCTAGGGATTTGTAAGAGATTGAAGCATTGTCACAAGTAAGGGGAGAAGCTTGAAGGGCAAAAATGGCAAATAAGAAAGGAAGTGGGAAGAGGAACCTAGTTCCATAGGTGCAGGGAAGGAGCTGAGTTCCATCATTTCTTATGGAAGTGACTTCCTTAAAGAAGTGAATTCCAGCATACCAAACATTCTATTTTTAAGATTTCACTTCCATTTACATTCATCTCATCCCAATTTCTATTCACCAAATGAGCCATTAATTTTTGTGTTTAGCATATCATTCATGTGAGATATGCTCGTGTAGGTCATGTAACCATGGATCCCCATTCAATCAATATTGGGAGATCATGGCCTTTCATTTTACTTTGAAATGATCTATGCCATTGGTTTTAAATTAATTTTTAAATGTTTTATATATTCTATTCACCAAAATAAAAAGTTAAACTTCTAATATTAAATTATGGTTGCTTTGGTGCTCATTTACTCATCAACCTAACCAGTTTGTGTAGTCAATATTTAAGCTTTTGATTTTTATTTTTTGTTTATAAGAATAAAAAAATATAAAACCTTTTAAAAATTCTATTCATCACACGCATGTTTAGTATACATTTAATCAGAGTGATTTAATTCGACACTAAATTTTTGCAAATTGACTATCTAAATGGAGACAGTATGAAGATAATTTGTATAATCCAATTTAATATTAAAATATTTTTGTAATGTTTTCAAATTGATATATTTTAGACAGTCCAAAATTTATATTAAATCTTTTTATAATTTGCATAACTTTTTACTTTAATAAATAGGATCCCGTAACCATCCTATTATATGACATAAGTATCTTGAAAAATTAAAACAATTCATATTTTTTAAGATTTGGTTTAGATGAAGTGAAAAGTAGAAATAAAATAGGGAGAGTTTGTTTTTTCATCCTAGTTTCTTTTTTATTCTCTGTTTTTCTTCCCATCCAAGTCAAGGCTAAGAGTTCGAATGTATAGTGATGTAAAAAATTTAAACAAACTACTAGCATATTTCTAGACATGGAAAGTGAGGTTAAACTTGAGAATTCAGTAATTTCTCAATTACAAGGGGCTAGGTTAAATTCTACCAAAAAAAGAAAAATAAAGGGGCCGGTTAAAATGAAAACTATACAAGTATGATTCCGTACATGTGAAAGCAAAGTCATAATTTTTTTTGTCAAGGTATTCTTATAGCCGGCGAAACTAGTTTCACTACTGATTACAAAGACAAGCACTATGAGTTCATCGCCTTTATACCGTTTGAATATAATTCTCGTGGTTTAGATTTTTAGTTTCTCAAAGAGTGTTTTTAAATAAAAAAAATCACGTTTTTGAAAAATTAACAATTGAGAGATTTTCTTTATTTTAGATTCCGTATCAATTAAAATAATTTTTTTAAAAAATAAAAGTACAAATCTATAAATCTAGACTATCCATATCAAATCTAAATAGTATAGAGGCGATGAGCTTTCAATACTCGTCTATATGATAAGTACTAAAATTGATTCCTACAACTAGCTATTATAAAACTAATTTCTCAAAAAATATGATAGTCATTTATGAAGTTATCTATTTTCAAGCGATGTTCTTCATATATACATTAAAGAGTTAAATCCTACAATGATACTTAAGAAACTCTGGCCGCTATCGTCTATGTCACACCCACCTAATAACAAGTATGTAAATCAGTGTCACTGTGAATTGGCACACTATTTCTTAGCCGTCCGTCCAGGAAAAGAAAAGACATACCTATATAGTTATACCAGAATAGTGAATTTTTTTACTTGAATGGGAAGTAATTATCTTATTAATCACATAAATTTAAAATTGATCAATATGTAATGAAAAATTAATAATTTAATCATTCTTAACATTTCAGTTAGATACAAAATATTAAAGTACACATCTAATCTTTTAATTTTAAACATGATTTTACTTTGATCATTTGATTCTATAAAGTGTATTTTTAGTGCTTTTAAACCTAATACTACTAGTTTCGTCAACGAAAAATTTTATATCAAACTTTTAAATGCCAACAAAATATTATTAAATATTGAGATATTAAATTTAATTTTTTAGAATAATAATGACAGGCATAAAAAATAATTATTTAAAATTGACAATATTAAAGCTGAAAGACTTAAAAAATACATTATAAAATTAAAAAATAAAACTAAAATTTATATAAAGTTTGAGTATAAAAATACACTCCAGCTAGTACTAAAACATTCAATCTAGCAATGATTTCTTTGAAAAGGTACAAATTCGTTCCATGAGAAGTCATTCAATAATTTGTGATTGTGAATATTTTAATAAAAGTAATGACGCTTGATGCTTTTCTATTTATATACACGCTCAAGCTTGTTATTTATAATTTTTAATAAGTGAACAATTAAAAAAAACAAACAAATCAATTTTATTTGGCTGTCAAAATCCTATTTGAGGTACTATTGTATATTAAATGTAGACATCTATTTGATAAAGGATTTGAATATAGGCACCTTATATTACACTTAACATTTTAAGGTAGAGGTGTCAGTTAGAGTTAGGCTGGCCCTTCGGCTTCTGAAGGGTCAGGGTTTAAAAAGTTAATTCTATAAGCTTGATTATACTTTAATACTCTATTTTGGTAAATCCAGCTTTGTCCCTCAGGGCTGAAGGGCTGGCCTTTAAAATCTCAGGCTATATTTTTACTTTCATTTTAAAATTTGAAAAATATATTTAAAATATCAAAAAAAGTCATTACACATAACATTAAAATTATAAAAATAAATTTAAGTCTAATAAAAAACAATAACATCATAAAATTAATGTCGATAATAATCAAACTTTGTTACAATTATTAGTGAAATCTTGTAATTTTTATTGTTATCAACATTAATATAATATCATCATTCTCTTTGTGGAGCTTCAATAGTGGCAAAGTTATTAAAATTTTCACATATTCCTTTTTCATCATGTGAAAATGAGGCTAGGGCTTTAAAATTAATGTATTTTTTAATTTTTTTAATATTAAAATTTAAAAAACTATAAAAGAAATTAAAAGGGTTAGCCCCAGCCCAAATCATCATTTTACACTCTAAAATAACAATTCAATTTTAAATTTTTTCAAGTTTAAAAAAGTCAATTCAATTGCACTCAGTCTCAGTTGATGGCTTTATCCACAGATAGATAAATCAATGTTGTTTGGTAGAAACAAATTAATTTTTTTTTTGGTATAAATCATTTAGTATCTTGAGATATCTCGAGCTTATTATCCTCCATAGACTAATCTAAACCCCCCGTAATCTTGAGTTCATTGTCTGCCCTAAACTAATTTAAACCTCTGTAAGGAGACTTTATAATGGTAGAGAGGTACAATGGAACAATTTTTTTAAAATTGTGTTAATTATCTCACTTGTCATTTCTTAAAATTTGAACACTCATCCTAAAAAATGATAGCCACAATCCTTTCTAACTCGACTAGGCGTCCATTGGTGAAACGAATCAAATTTATAAATAAAGCCGTTTCCCAGCCTCCATCCCTCCGCCGATAACCCAAACCAACGCCGTGGGCAGCTTTGGTGGTACGGGCTTTGTTGAAAATCTAATACAGACAGGTATTAGCCCAGGACCATATATTTGTCAACGCAATTTCTGCCCCAGGCCCGTCACATTTGTTCTTAAAAAAAAAAGGGACAATAAACGAAGAAGATGGAATAATTGGCAGCTTGGCACCTCGCTTTCTGAATTATGATAGGATGAAAGCGCGGGGTGGGAAGGCGATCAGATTTGTGGGGCAGGCCGGCGCTGCACGCTCTTCAGCAGCAACATAATCCAAAAAAGGATGAGGGGCAACCAATGACAGCTTGAGCGATCTACCCAAATGGCCGAGCGCGTGTCCCTCACGCTTTCACCGTCCTTACCTTCTCTTCCCTCTCCAACTAAAATGGCTTCTCTGGCTTCTTCTCCTTTCATTATCCCATCTTGCACCATACCCTCCATCCCACGTGCTTCGTCTTCTCTCTCTTCCCTCAAATGCTTGACATCCTCTTCTCTCATCTTTCACCACTTTTCCAATCAGGTTTTCATCTCCTTGGCTCTCTGTTCCAGCTGCAAGCTCGTTTATGACTAAGTATGAGTTTTCCATTGATTCACTTGCGATTTTCAGGCGCAGCGAAGAGCACAGGTTCGTGTATCTAATGGAGGATATACCACAGTGTCTGCGCCCAAGTCATTCGCGTCTAATCCTGATCAATTGAGGAGCGCGAGAGAAGACATGAGAGAGCTGCTCAAGACTAAGTTCTGCCATCCTATTCTGGTAATGTTCGGAGTCCAGTTCGCGAGGGATCTAAAGTGAATCGCTTTCCATTTTTAAATTTGAATTCATATTTTTAGTCGTTCCTGTCTGCCACTTGCATTTTCGCCTCAAGGTGACATTCTAAAAGATAAGGAGAAAACATTAAAGTGGAAATTGATAGCTTATTTAGTTTCTGGATTTTTATCCTCACATTTCCTCCCATTGATTACTAAATTCTCGAGAATGTGACAGAGTAAGAGAATAAGTTTAGCTGCATAGTGACTAAAACTTAACTTATTTGTTTTGATTCATGATGTAGCGCTCTGTTGTGGCTTTAAGACAGGTTCTACTTATGTGATAAGGGTGCAATGCTTTTTAATTGAATTTGCTAGGCCGTTTAGAACCTTCCTTTGTTTTATGTCTACAAGTTTCAGGGTCATTAATGCCTAGTCTATGTCACGGGGAGATAGACCTTTAATTTACTGTAATGATTCAAGGTCCGAACTCTGATTTGTTCCAGTTCAATCGCTTCCTTAGCATTTAACTGGATGTCCTATTCCTTTTTTAATGTAGAATTTCTCTAGTTGTCAATATCTTCGGTGTGAAACTTAAAAAAAAAAAAAAGCAAATAGAAAAAAGAAATCAAACGATTTAGTCGTTGTTCGTCATGACGATGTGTATCAAATCAAGATTTGAATGGCTCATATTTAATATTTTTTAAAATATTTTGTATTTTTTCTTTATGATAGTTTTAAACTGTTTATCAAAATTTAACTGTTTAAGTCCATATATTTATTTTATTTATGACTTAACATTTTAATAATAATTTTATAGAATGTCAAATCTGAACAGTTCAAATCTTAATCTGAGGGCTGAGATGAGAAGTGGAGGGGATCTGATTCCCTATCAATTGCTTGCCATTTCTCACTTAAGTTTCGTAAGAAGAATAAACGTCAAAAGAGATTAACATGGTTTCGTTGGTCAAGATGTGACGCTCATTTCCGCAAGATATTTTGGATGGACTATATATATATATATTTCGTTGCTGCATGTAACTGGATCTTTGTTATGTACAGGTTTGGCAATAGATGGAAGTTTTCCATTCATTTCAACAACTAACGTGTGTTTTTATCTGATAGATCCGCTTGGCATGGCATGATGCTGGTACTTACAATAAGAGTATTGAGGAGTGGCCACAAAGAGGTGGAGCGAACGGGAGCTTAAGATTTGAAGTTGAGCTGAGACATGCAGCCAATGCTGGTATGACTATCTAACAATGCCTGTTTCTACATTTGGTTGATAGTTATAATTCCTGATGAACTGCTATTTCAGGACTCGTTAATGCATTGAAACTTCTCCAGCCAATCAAAGACAAGTACTCTGGTCTGACATATGCAGATTTATTTCAGCTAGCTGCTGCTACAGCTGTGGAGGTTGCCTTCAGTCGTTTTAATGTTTCAGGATTGACTGTGGGCTATCATTCATTAAAAGATGATGTCATTGACCACTTCCTTCGAAATTTCAGGAGGCTGGTGGACCAAAAATGCCTATGAAGTATGGAAGACTTGATGTCTCAGGACCTGAACAGTGTCCTGAAGAAGGCAGGCTTCCTGGTAGGTTGACTATGTACCCATTGGGTGGTATTCTGGAAGAGAGCTTTCTCCTTTTCTTTTCTATCAGTTCTAGTTGGATTGATTAATTTGTTATGTTTTTGGGAATAGAAAACTCTTGTAAAAGCCGTGAAACATGGCCCTTCATTCACAAGGCAACAAATAACAAAACGAATTTCGCCTTTATTTTTAATATAATTTTAATCTTATTTCTGTTCCATTGGCTCTTCAGGCTGCTCTTGGGGGAAAAAAAGGGAGAATTACTTTGAGGTCTCACACAACAATTAAATACTATAAGTTCCAGTGACTGTGTTGTTATTTTCCCTTACTAAATTATCAATGGATCTTGTGGTATCTAAAAATATGTTGCGTGAGACTTGTATGTAATTTTCCAAAAAAATATTCAAGCAGATACTACCACCTGCCCTTTCTCCTTTTTTCTGCCTTTTAAAATTCTGCATTGTGATGTGTATTTAGTTGGTTTGTTAACATCCATTCCCATGGGGAGCATCAAATCACGTAGTCTCTTACAATCACACCTCTTATTTCACAATGATCCTTGGGGGCTTATTTAGTGTCCTATGATGAATCATTCCTTTGTTTTCCAACATGCTAAACCACCTTAACTTTAGAGCTATTATGTGTCTAGATGCTGGCCCCCCTTCACCTGCTGATCATTTACGGCAAGTGTTTTACAGAATGGGTTTGAATGACAGGGTAACTTCAATTCTCCGGTATTTTTGGATGCAAGCGATGACTGTGATCTTGATTATCAAGTTGCTGGATCTGCAGGAAATAGTTGCATTAAGTGGTGCCCACACGCTGGGGCGGGCTCGACCAGAACGCAGTGGCTGGGGCAAGCCAGAGACCAAGTATACGGTATATTATCAGTCTTTTTACTCCATAAGATTCGGAAATTAAATTGTAGTAAATTGCTTTCTAATTTGTTGCAGCATTTTCAGATTCTAATATTTTAAGTCGTGATGCATGATGAGCAAATAGAGGCCAATGTGTTGGCACTAAAAATTGGTAACTGTAGGTGATGATGAGCAGCGGGGATACTGTCGCCTACTTTTGATGCTTGATTAATCATTTGGAAGATGAACCATTATCTCATGGTTCTTTTGTACCAAAAAAAAAAAAACTCTTGCGAACCTATGCTTGACATAGGTCGTATGAAAACCCTGGAGAGTCATTTTTTTCTTTTGTTAATTTCTTATGCTTCGTAGGTCCCTGATAATATGAACCATTATTATTTGCAGAACGAATATACCCATCAAATGCATGGTGTTCCTATTATGCCTGTTTACCGTCTTAAACATTATTACTCTCTTTACTTGAAGAAATGATGTTTTAGACTCGCTGCACGTAGATATTTCTTGTTAAGAATTTTGCTTTAGCTTTGCTGCGTCAACAAAATGTTTCTCTGTTTGAGTATATTGATCCTGTATGATAACTGGTTATTATCATTATTTTATATATTCCCATGCTTGAAGTCTTGCTTCAATTTCTTGTTGAATAGGAAATCTTAATTTGGTTCAACTTTGTTCTCTCGGCCCTTGTATAAACGGATTTTGTCTCTAATGTCTACTTGTGCAGATTTATCTGGCTTCATGTGGAATTTTAAGAATTGAACGTTAACAGAACTAGCTAACAATTTTGAAGTCCTTGTTCATTTTCTCAACAGAAAGATGGACCAGGAGAACCTGGGGGCCAATCCTGGACTGTGCAATGGTTGAAGTTTGATAACTCTTACTTCAAGGTCAGGGACCCATATTTCGTTTTGTTTATACAAGAGAGGGCCTTTTTTTTTTTTTTTTTGGTTGAAGGGGGAGAGGGGAGTAGGTTGGGATGCTCAATTTCCATTTTTCACGGTTGTTTCTGCATTGATCAGGACATCAAAGAAAGAAAGGATGAAGAACTATTGGTGTTGCCAACTGATGCTGTTCTTTTTGAGGATCCGTCTTTTAAGGTGAAATGATTGAAGTTTTTTATTGGTCATGGCTGTTATAATTCAGCTTTTAACCGTGAAAAATGTGCAGGTCTATGCTGAGAAATATGCTGAAGATCAGGAAGCGTTCTTTAAGGATTATGCTGACGCCCACGCCAAACTTAGCAATCTTGGAGCCAAATTTGATCCTCCGGAGGTCTGTTCATTTTATGTTGCTTGAGCCTCGCTGAGGCTTAGATATCACATAACTTTTGGTCCTTTTTGTACTTGATATCTGAGTCCAAATAACGATATAAGCTGATCAAGTTAGATACCATAATAATAGCTCCCCGTGGCATCTGGTTCATAGGGTATTGTGATAGATGGCGGTTCTCCAAGACCTGAGCCAGAGAAGTTTGTAGCAGCCAAATACTCGACTGGAAAGGTTGTAATCTTGCAAAACCCATCAAATTTGAATGTTCATTTTATTGATAGTTGAAGAGGACTCGGGACTTTTTATTGTTAGTCATAGAAGATTTAGAGCTTTTCTTAATGTGAAGATTCTACTGTTTAGTTTTGCTTTTCCCTGTTTGTTGCGGGAGTAAAAAAAGGAAGGGTTTTTCTCTCGTGTCAGTGTCTTCTAGGAAATCAAGACGAAGCTATTTTCAAATCCAGTGATCTCACACGTAAAACTTGGAAGTCTTAATGAAGGATTAAAGAAGAAATTCATTGGTTTGCCCGTTTGAATTGCAGAGAGAGCTGTCAGATGCTATGAAGCAGAAGATTCGGGCCGAGTACGAGGCAGTTGGCGGAAGCCCAGATAAGCCTTTACAGTCTAACTATTTTCTGAATATCATAGTTATCATTGCCGTTTTGGCAGTTTTGACATCGCTGCTCGGAAACTAGTGGGACTCCTCTTTTTTTTTTTTTTTTTGACCTTTTCCCCCTTGTAATTGCATATGTATATACAATCTTCTAATTTTTGCCCGTGGAAAAGTCTATTTGAATTAGTGAAGAAAACCACCTTAAAGTAGTTGGGTGTCAAGGCATTGATTGATAAATTAATAAAATTATATACAGTAAATGCTGCATTTTTGTTGGAACTTGAAGCAGTGATCGCTAGGTTGGTGAATGAGAAAGAAAAAGGTGTTGTTGGGGCTGTAGATCCGATGATCCATCATCCCTTTATCTCATGTATTGGTAGTTTGAAGCAGTGTTACGCCAAACACGAAATGTTGGGCTGGATTGACTCAAGGAGTACACGGATATAGTCTCCGTATTTCACGTTTTATGAATCAAATCTTTCGTCGTCAGGTAATTCCGCAAAGTGCTTAACCTTCCCTATAGAGTTCTTCTGGTTCCTGAGTATTAGTTGAGTTGTGTTTTCTAATTAGTTGCTGCTAGGGGTGAAAATAGGTTATGTTAGTTAGGCTTTGGCCAAATAAGTTTAGACCTAACTTAAAATGTTATAAGGCTTTTATCATGGCTGAGCTTATCTAAACCTGTCCTGACTTGAAAACCTACTTAAAAATAAGTATTTTAAGTAAGCTCGCATTTTAATTTTAAACGCATCAAAAATACTTTAATACTATTAATATAAATATATAACCTAATTTATTGATTATAATATATAATAATTAAAAGGACTTATCAACTATAATACAATAAATAATGGCATTAAAATGTATATATGAGTTGAGTCCAATCTAATTGAAAATATAATTAAAAATAAAAAAGAATAGATTGATTAAAACTCTCTCTATGTGTGAAATAGATTGATTAAAACTCTGTGTGTGTGTGTCCCTGTGCGTGCGCTAGTTCTAGTTTATTTAGTTAAATAGGCTTAATTAAATACCTAAATTTAATTTGAATCTATTTAGTAAATAGATTAAGCTCCCACTAAAGTAGTTTAGGGTGTAGGCTTCTGATAAGAGTTTGATCTATTTTCACCCTAGTTGCTAGAAGTGGCTTTAAGAGTTAAGATTGTTTACCTGAGAATTTTTTTTTTTTTTTTAAGAATGACTGTTAAAGTTTTGGAGGGCGTTTTTCTTCCTCACAAAACTTTTGTCATGGAGGAAGTACTTAGCATGGGAGCAAATCGTTTAAAATAGAGATTTAAACTATTTATTTTTGAAGTAGAAACAAACAAGGAAGGCTCAGCGCCTCAGCCTCCTGCATCGGGAGTTGAGGTTGAGGATTTCCAGCGTTGATTTTAGTATTTCCTCAAGAAGTTAAAACATATGGCGAGTGAAATGCTCTCTTTAAGCAACTTTATTACTCTAATGGTGGCAGACTGTAGAGTGTAGGCATTCCCCATTTCTGATTTTACGGTTATGTTTTGGCAGATAACCACCCTGGCCCTGCACCGAAAGATTAACAGGGACCAGGTCCAAAATCCATTCCTTTATAGTTATACTGCATTAGCGACCCTAAAATTGAATCTGAACCTCTGAGGGAGGGCACCGTATTCTTACTCATGACAACAGATTCTTTTCGGGGAAATTGGTAGGAAGGATCATCATGGAAAAATATTTGAAGAAAAAAGACTCAAGTCCTTCAAGATTTCAGGCCTGTTTGAATAACTCTTAAAAGTATACTTAACTATATATAGGATGTATTTTTATCAAATTCAATAAATAATTAAATCTCTCAAATGGATTTTTTATCAAATATAAACTGAAAACCAAATACACATTCAATCCTTTTTTCCAAATATTTTTACTTCATATTCCTATTTACCAAATTTCCTTTCTTTTTATCGATATTTTATTGGTTATTTGATTACTATTTGATTAAGTAATTTAGATAATTTACTTTTATATTTCATCAAAAATATTATAGTCTAAGTTATTTTGCAGAGAGAGAGAGAAATTACCAAATGAAAATTACAGACCAGGAAAAATTATAATAAAATCGCAACTTACAAGTTAAATTTTTATTTTTTTATGCACAAAAATGAATATCAGTGGCCCATTAATACTTATGAAGTGGCAAATCCGGAAATATTAGTATCAAATCTTTGAAGGCTGTAATTCATTTCTGAATTTATAATGGAAAAATAAAAATTTGACTTGTCAAACTTTTTTGACCCCTCTCCATATTGGATATTATTTTGAAAAAATTGCTAGTAAATCCCTCTTTAGGATTGAAATTGTATTGAAGGACGATGACCAGAGGACCAAGAGCAGGCAGGCTTAATGTTTAAGCAGATAACTATGCAATTTCAAGCCTATCTGCTCGAACCCTAAGCCTATTTACTTGCATTCTGATCCTTTGGTTCTCCAATACAATTTTGACTCCAAATGAGAGATGTACTAACAATTTTTCCTACTAATTTCCCCTAATTTGCATTTTTTAAACATGCTAATCTATAACTCATATTTCTCTTTTCATGATAAGGGTATTTAAGTAAATTAATTTGTGGACCCAAATCATTAAATGACCTTTAGTCCCGGTTTGAAATTTTCAATTCTTATGGTCCCAATATAGAATTAATTGTCCTTTGGGTACAAATCACCTCCGCGGCCCCGGCTCCGCATATCTGCCACTTTGCTGTTGTCCGAATCAGAAGACTTCCAAGCCTGACCAATAAGCAAATCTGGCAGTGCGCCGCGAGAAGAAGGAGAATGAAGATATATATCGAGTTCGCTCCACCATGGCTGTGCGTGGATTAGAAACCCGAGTGACTTATTGTAGGATCACAGAGTAGAAGAATGGCTTGCGTTGTTGATTTAGCAAAGTGATTTAGCAGTAAACAACCACAGAAGGGAAGTCATTTGTTTGTGTGATCGATCAGAAGCACTGAAATGTATTTTGATATTTGCATGCGCGCGCGCGCGCACACGCACTGACCAATATGTATTGGGATATATAGCTGCAAATATTACTACGGTCTGCAAATTCAGTAACCTGTCGATATGACCATTCACACCACCTTTAATTCTTTCATTTTGGATCTCGATCTTTCCCTAGGTTCCGGTGACGTCGCCTTCCTTTTGCTAATATTATTACAGTTATCCTTCTGATTGCTGTCATTGTCCGTGGCTATGGATTCTGCTAGGCATGAGTTGTCGGGGAATTTCAGAAAGTATGGCTGCAGCTTCTTCAAATCTGATAACTGAAGAGGCTTCAATAGAAATTCCTCTGCTCCTCCTTCCAAGCACCTAATGACATATAACACGGTATTTCACTTTATTTTCAAGTTCTTGTGAAGACGCGCCCTATAAATTCAAGCAAGCACGTATATGATAGCTTGTCGATGCAATGCATTTTTCTCTTGTTTTTAAGTGCAAGAAGATGAATTAAAATGCAGCCAATCACGGTGTATTCTAAAGGTTTAGTTAATATTTGGACGGAAAAGTAAGATGATGGTAAAAGAGAAACGATAGTATAATGGGGAATAATAATAACTTTCTCACATGCTGATTCTTGAAGGCACATTTTCTGATGACATGATGACGACGGGTATATCTTTCCAAGGAGATCCCTGCAGCAGTAAGCAATGCAAGCTTAAGATGGATGGGACGTTCATTTGATTTTGAACTCAGAACTTTTTCACTCTAATTTCTTGTTAGTTCTTAGGAGCGTTCATTTGAAAGAGAACGATGAGAATGCTTTCGTGGAAAGGTCATCAGAGTAGATGAATTTACGTCCAAGTAAAAATTAAGTTTTGGCAGTGTACAATTAATTGAATAAAATGAAGAGTACTGCACATGTGGTGGTTGCTATTCATGAATGAAATACAATTACATACGTCAAGACTCGAGTGAAGAAAATGAAGTTAAGAGTTAGACCTTGACTCGTTTAAGCAAATCATAACCACTCATCCCAGGCATGCAGTAGTCTGTCATGATCATGTTAACTTTTGCACCCTGCATTTCATACACAACTTGTTACTGTTTCGCATAGAATCCTTCCGCAGTGCCCACTTCGTACGTGAACCAGCTATCACATAATTGGGCTACCCCTAGCTATACCTAGAACCACCCTTTTAAACGTCACCTCCTATCTTTTTATAGAACAGTATCAGTAGGCTTCGCTCAAAAGTAATACTCCCTCCGGTCTCATTTATAAGTCCAATTTTAGAAGGTGTATTTGGTCCCATTTATAAGTCACGGTGCGTCTTTTTAGGTAATATTTGAGAGGTATTTCCAAAATTACCCTTCATGAGAGAGAAAAAGTAACAGGACATTACTTTTTAGATTTGTTATATAGGGGCATGTTTGGAATTTTACTTACTTTTATTCCTTGTACTTTTATTGTATTGGTATTGATGAGGTTGGTAGAAATGACTTATAAATAGGACCGGAGGGAGTATCAAACAATAGATATATAAAAACTAGCCACTGCAATGAAAAAAATCTCCTCCGTAACGGATTTTTTTTTTCATATTATCAGGAAAAATATAGCTGGAGACCGGAGATTCACATGCATTATTTTCCATTGAGCTTTTCATTATTTCTCTAGCTATGTACATGATGTACGTATCTGATGTTCGGTATTGTCTTTATTTTTTTAGAAATATTTGAGAACTCGGACTTCATCCCAGAGGCAATATTCTAAACTAGAATTTTCTTGATCGGGAAAAGAAAAGGAATTGCTGTTTACTGGAAATTCAACACACTCATCTTCTTCAAAACGTTGTTTTGGCAGAAGAGAGAATTATGTATGTGGGATTCGAATCGCAGTACAGCTAGGCAGGGTCAAACGTGGTAGTTAAAAAAGAAGAGTCTCGGATTACGGTAAAGGAGGAGGAGGAGGAGAGGATATGAAGATCATGAAATACCTCATGCTGGGGCGATTGATCAGGAGAAGACGACGAAGGTGAAAGGGAAGTGGAGGAAGCACTGATATTCTGAAGGTCATCAAGCAGACCAAGGAACTTCAGAGCTTTATCCCCAGAGTCCACACAGGTCACTGCAGATATAGTTCATAATAATTAAACACAATTCCTCATCACAGTCCTGAGATACGGACGGGATTAACCATGAAAGGGCCAAGATAGCTTTATATGTAAAAACTTCACACCTTTGCATGAAGAAACTGTAAGGAGCCTCTCTAAAAGCTTCCTGTCGATGACACTGTCATCCACTGCCAGCACGTGAAAATGCTTTTGCTCTTCCTTTTGCTTTCCTCTACCCACCGCCACAGCCTCCGATTCAACCGCCATTAATTATTTATATTCCTCCGCCCCTCCGGATTCCCTCTCTCTTGCTGGGTATGTGCATTGCAACTGAACACCAAACCAAGTAATATATATTCACCAAGTAGCTGTAATCTAATGGTGAATCCCTGTGGGTCCCATCCCAAGTACAGCCCATTATTTATTCTCTTTTCTTTTCTTTTCTTTTTTTTCTTTTTTGACCTTTTTTCTTTCTCTTTGTTACTTTGCAGTACAGGAGAGGAACCGCATAGGAAGATGAATGATAAATGTAAGAGAGGTGGCAATTTATTAAGTGCCCTTTTGTAGAAGTAGACGGATGCATGAGAAAAACCACAGTGGTCGCTAGTGTCTCTTACTTGTAAATTATTCGTATTAGTTGGGCTATAGTTTGACTTTCTTAAAAAAATTATATTTTTACTGCCAATCTGCTATACATGAAGTTTAAATTATTCTTATCGATCCGTATGAATGCAATATATACTTAGCCTCCGTTGTGGTTCGTCTCGAGAAATCTCCCTCTAGATTCGCTCCATCACGTTGGTACAACCACCACTCACACACTCTAACACCATCACACTCTATGCTCTCTCTCTCTCCCTCTCTCTGTCACAATTTTCCCTTTCTCTTGGATTTTATTTGATTGCCTACCAAAATCTTAAGATCTTTGATTCCATCAATGTCATCATCATGACCAACGTTACGACTTTGATTTTGGGCGTGGATCATCACTTTCAATTTAACTGATTAAGCTGCTATTACTTTTACTCTTTCCTCTACATGAGTGGGGCCTCATTGCTTCAGTCTTCACATTCACCTTATCTTACTATTCTCCATCTCAATTCTCAGTTTGACACTAAACGCACAGTGGTCTGCATTAATAATCTGACAATATCATTTGTTAAATATCATACTCTAAAAGATAAATGAATTGTATTGGTTTAAATTAAAGTAAGAAGCAGCGTTTACTTTTTTTATCTTCTTGCTCTCAAAGAAAACCATATATACAGGTTCGGAAATTACAAACAAGAATAGCAGAGTTTAACTCAAGCGTACAGGAGTCCCTCAAAACAGGCCACTAATAATGGACGAAACTTGCTTTATTTTGATATTATTAATATATTTTTGCTCAATTCTTTTTTCTTGGGTTTCTTCCATGTATGATTGCCTGTTGTGATAGGTCAGGATAACCCACAATTCTGATGCGACTTCATTAAATTTTTTCAGCCGATATTTCTGATTATTGCCTCGTCCATTATCTCTGCAAACCCCACAGTATTTTTCAAGAAACTTTCCATGTGACGCACATATTTACGGTTTAAGATGTGTTTCACTTTGACAGATTGCAAGACAGAGACAAGAAAGGAAATAAAAATCACTAAAGCACCAGTGTATCAGAAGCTTATCTGATAATACACATACACGTCACATTAATACAGGGAGAAGCATACATAAATTACATGTAATAATTGAATTTAATATACGTACGTAGATGTACAAATGTATTTTGAGAGGCAAGAAGGAAGTAAATGATTGAAATGAGAAGGTGGGTCGGAGCAAATATAATCTTAGGTGGGGTCTGTTTCCCACAGGGACAGAGATCATCTCCGATCTCCCATGTTTCGAATCTGTTGCCTATCGAGGATGTCCACATTCATACGCAGCAGAAAGTCTTCCTTTTATTCACACTTGAGTAGGGGCCCCATCTGCTGTCTGCCACGTGTTCCTCCTTTCGTGCTTGGACCCAATCATACGTCTGACAATGAGGATTATCATTATGTCCTAACGTGGTTTCTCATTGACCGTCTGATCACATCGCCATCAATTCTCCACCCCACTTCTTGTTCTTTTCTCAACTTTATGCTAATTATAACACTACAATTCAATCTGCTTTTCTCATCCCTCTTCTGTTTGATCTCTTCGTGGAACGCCACATCATTTCATCAATGTGTTTATAGAGATTAACGCAACACGGCACACAAGGTAATACATTAAGTGTGAATGCCATATATGAAAGAACGCCAGTATGAATTGAATGTAGCATAGTATATCTCTTCATTCCTTTGATTTATTTGTCAAACTGCTCAATTACTTCTAATTTATATGCATGTTACCTTGCTTTCCTTCTCTATCTAACACTCACACATAAAAAATATTTCCAGACACAATTATTTTGGAGCTTCGTCACAAATATTATATATGTATGTATGTATACCTACAAGTCGACACGCGCGTGTTTGGATTTGTCCTCACAGGTTCAGGTTTTCTTTTTGGTCCGATGTATTAACCCAGGTTGTTGATTAGAATTATGCTACTTAAAATTACAAAGGTTGATTTATTTGCCCGGATCAAAATATCTCATAATTTGTATACTTTTTAATTAACCATCTTCCTTTTTCGACCAACACTTTATTATTAACCATCTTAAATCCGATTTGTTTGGCATGATAGTTCTCTCAGTTTGGTCAGAATTTAAATCCTCGTAAGTTTAAGCTGATCAGAAATGGACACACAAGCCCAACACCTCTATCCCTAAAGTCAGTGTCATGAGGATTATATTCTTAGCTAAATTTGTCTCATCGATATCATTTAGGAGTGATATCAAATGATATAAGGCCATTGTATTTCTAACTTTAAAATTGGATCTTCTATCATGACAATTTATTTATTATATAATCAACCAATTAAGCTCTGGAACCTGAAGCATGTAGTAGCTGCCCCAGGATTTGAGTCCGCCCAGTTGATGAACTACCATGCCCTGATGAACATTGTCACGCTTCGCTATGGCAGTAGATTACATGTGTACGTATGTATGGGTCTTTACTTCGACGACATCCAGAAAAAATAGGAGAAAAATCTTCCTGAACTCTCAAATCTGGATCAATATTATAAATAATTCTTCATTAAAAATTATTATAAATAATTCTACATGTATTACTAATTAACTTTACGCAAATTTCCATTTGGATGACAATATTCCCATGCTGTGAATAAAAAAGTGAATTAAGGTCTAAACGTCGTCTTTAATAAACATTTTTGCCCATTGCTTGCGTTCTTGCAACTGCGTTCCTCTTAATTAATCAGTCAATCAATCAGTTCATGTCAGGTGTTGCTTTTTTTAATTTCCTATTAACTTTTTCAACGTTCATTTTGACTTGAGTTACCAAACGTGGGACCATCTCCCACGAGGTAAAAAGGATAATCTTGACAGATTACTATTTAAATTAGCTCATGCCCCTGTCATACGAGATTTCCCTAGATCTGCTTTCTGGGCCCACTCCTGAATCTGGCCATGTCTCTTTAATCTCATTCTTTTGTTTCTATGCGAATTTCCGAAGCCATGGCCCATGCAACCAACCTTCTGTTAATTTCGGAATTTGAAATGTTTTACGCCCGTACTCTTCCTTCCCAAGTTTCTTCTGGTCAACTAATTAATGACCGTTTTCTGGATTACGGAGCCACAATATCACAATTTCAAAATCCTCATTTTCTTCTAGTCTAAAGAAAAAGATCGTGGTACCCATCCAAGTGGTTGATGATGCTTAACCACCAGGATCCATTCTGATACAATATGACAATACTCTCTGCTTCAGAGCTCCTGTTTCTTTCCTCTGATTCGCTCTTTCTCATTACAAAGAAATTAAAAGAAATAATCAATATATTGATCTGATGAATTAAAGGATAATGAGACTTTTATTACCCTTATCGGTTTGACCCTTAAAATTTAATTATCATCAGTAAATTTACTAGAGTTTCATAATCATATATACGCACAATTTGTTCTTAATGAGTCATTTTTTCTTCAAACCATAAAGATTTATTTTGCATGATTGTGAAGTTTTAAGAATTTTAATGATAAAATTTAAACATTGAGGGCCACAATGTTAATGATAGGCAATGTAAATTCAAGGGACGTATAAAATTAGGAGAATTTTAGTTAAGAATCACTATAAAAACTTAATTTGAGATGGTCCAAAAAAAATTCTAAAATTGCAATTCAGTTTGGAGAAAAAAAATCAAAAGAATTTCAGTAGTGAAAAAAATCAAAATACTATTAATTTATTATGCAAAATTATTAGTTGCTAATTTTTTTACTGTAATTGTTAATTTACTAATATCACTTATAAATTATATTCATTTATCAATGGCATTGATTGTTAATTTGCTAGCTTTACTTATTAATTTATCAATATCAGTAAATTTGTTAATAATTTACAATTGACGTTCATAAATTATAAGACCTGTCAATAATTCACAATTAATGTTATTAAATTAATAAGTAAAATTAGTAATTCAACAACTGATGTTGCTACTTATGATTGAAAAACTGATGTTAAATTTTATATAACTGTTGACATGCAACTCATGTATTTTGCAATTCATATTCATAAATTAACAAGTAAAGTAAAAAAAATTAATAACTAGTGATTCTACATTATAAGTGAAGAGTATTTTAACTTTTTTCATAGTCAAAATTCTTTTTATTTTTTTCTATGGGGCTAAATTAAAATTTAAAAAATTTTTAGACCTACCTAAAATTAAATTTCTATTAACAGTCCTTAATTGAAATTCTCTCTGTAAAATTTATTCGATTAAAAAATTAAGATCGTTGGCACCATTGATTGGGATGATTTGGTAATAATAGAAACGTGACACCTATCTAAACCTGAGTACTGGCACAGACATGCTGGATTTAATTTCGAGTGGACCAACATACGAAGCTAGCGAGGCCAACTCATTGATAATGAATTAATAATACGCTCCCTATGCATCCGGAGTTCATTTTCAGTCTACTTCCAGGGTTTCCTTTTATCGTAATTTGTATTATATTGTCACATGATTTCTTTCCATAATTAAAAATACATCTTCCCTGCAAAAAGGTTAAGTTATACAAAATTTTTATAAATTTTGGATCATGTACAAATAACCTTATTAATATTTAAAAGTTAATAATAAACTTTCTTGAGTTTTTAAGTTTATACAAATAATCTCTTGTCATGAATTATATACTCTCTTAAACTTTATTTTTGTGTATATTTAAATCTTCAAACTTTAATTGACATAAGGATAACTCCTTGAGCTTTAAGTTATGTATAGATAATTATTATATAAAATTAATCATGTGAAATTATCTGTATAAATATAAGAGTTGAGGGGATTCATTATAAAACTTTAAATGTTAAGAAAATTATGTGTATGTGATTTAAAATTCATGGAAGTAATGTATAACTTAAAAAAAAAAAACTCACAATCCTTTGGACGGGTCCAATACACTTTAAGAAATTAAATAAGCTGATGATACGACACACAGTTTAACGTCTCTCCGCAAAGAGATCATGTTAATCCGGTCTTATATACTTTCCTAGCTAGATTGCTACCCCAAAAAAATCTTGAAATTAAAGTGACCAATATATAGCCTTAATTTCTAGCAAAGCATACCAATCCTTTAAGCATTTAAGCATTTCAGAATGGTCCGAACATAGGCTCATACATCGTCATCAATAGATATCGCCCTCTCTTCATTAATGCCTTAGATTACCCACGTATTATCATCTGTCGTTTGCATTTATGGTTTATGTTGGTAGATCGAGACAACGAAGATGGCCTTTGGCTTGGCTGTCCAATTGGATCAACAAATATTGTTTGACGTTGAAAAGAGAAAAAGAAGAAAAGTGGTAAAATCAGTAGGAAGATATCGCATGTCGTGGCGATCGACTTTATCTTGAAAATGAGAAACCCAGCTGGGACAAGTTACGCATACGCGTTATGATGATTGAAGATCTCGTGTTTGAAGTTCTTCTGACAAGCCCACCAAAGACGGAGGTCTGTTTGGTAAGAAACGTTGTTTTCATGGTAAAGGAATGTGTGGCTTTATAAAAATGTGACACTCAAAGGGAAAAAAGATGGAACAAAACAAAGAGAAAAAACTCAATCCCTTCAATTTATCTGATTGTGTTGGGATTTGCCATTACTAGATAACCCACATGCATGCCCCTCCTTATCTTTGTTTGCAATGTTTAAAGAACATTTCATGTGGTCCATTTCGTTTTCTGAAATATCCAGTCTAGTCTCTCTTATTAATTCATAAGCATGCTCTCTTTTTCCTTTTTCAAAAGAAAACTGTAGTTTTTCATTACATGAACGCTTTTGAGATGCGAGTATTGACGTTTGAAGAATTGACCAGCAAAGATTGAGAGAAGAACGAAGATCCAATTAATTAAAGCTTGTAACTTTTTGAAATCGCGGTGAAGGGTAATCCATTGAGGCGCTAGAGCGCACCTTTTTCATACGGGCACATCAAGAATACAAATGAGAATCTGAATTGTGCAGCAAAGGAATTGCATAAACAAAAAAGTTTGCATGCGCATTCGGCCTTATCTTTGATGATTGGCCTCCACTGATATCACAAATACGGTTACCTTCTATGAATCTAGAAACGATGGCGCCAAAATGATTTACAGAGTAAAAGGCAACCTAATATTTTGATTAATATAAATCCTATATCGTGTGAATATCAGTCGTGGAATTGAATGGGTCAAGAAGGGTGGACTTTTTTCTTTGGCCACATTGAACATGAATAGTTATTGGCTAAAATGGAGATTTCACGTGAACTGAAAATACGACCTTGAGCGGGCGCGAATCAAACAAATCCTTCATTTCCTAGGAAATCTCTTCCCATCTTCTACTTCGCATACGAATGGGTTAAGATTTGAAATTAATTCGCTCTCAATGTTGGAGGGAGTTCGGTATTAATTCCTGAAGACGAACTACGCTTGCTTCGCGTATATATCGCTTGGCTTTTTGCTACATATATACATAAATATTTTGTTTGGTGAATCACTAATTCATGTTGCGAGCGAAAAACTACTTGAAGGACGTGAAATTAGTGCTGGATAAGGATAATGAGTCAGAAAAAAAGAATATCCGTGAGCGTGCGCGTATGGCGTTAGGGCTACTTAGATTAGATTTGGCTGCGGAGGCCATGGGGCTACTTTCTTCGAAGGTTGTATACTGTGTAGAGCAATAGAGGTCTGCGGTGTGAGATTGTCGATGGCACGAAGAAAGAATATGAAAGAATCGCACTTAAGCTCCTAGATAAGAGAAATTTGGATAAAGCTCAAGACACTTCGAATTTTACCGGCCCAGCCCAAAGGCGTGATATGTAAATAAATTTTCAGGTGAAAATACTTATTTATCCCTCATGTGAAAAAATATCGTGCACAGACCATGTATGATAAATGCATATTGAGTTGTTAATGTATGTACATTGTTTGTTACATGTGAACATTCTGCTATTCATACATTTGCAAAACTTATGCATTATTATTTAATAAAATTAAATCACATGAATTATATATAATAAATAAATATTATATTGTTAATGTAAGGACCTTGTCATATTATTTACGGATATTCTATTGTTTATACACCTAAAAAACTTGTACTTTATTATCCAACTAAACCACACACATGTATAATGAATAGATATTATATTGTCAATCTATGGACTTAGTCATATTATATATAAATCTTCTATTGTTTCATACACCTTGAGAAATTGTATATTAATATTACTCAACTAAATATCACGGACTACGTATCATAAATAAATATTATATTGCTAATGTGTAAATTTTGTCATGTTATATACAAATAGTCTATTGTGTATACACCTAAGAAATTTGTACATTATAAACAAGAGGAAAATAAGTTTTTTTGCTAAAAAAAAACGTATTACAGAATCAATTTAAAATGTATTGGATTTTAAATACGAATTTCTTCAACCTAGGAGTCTTGGGTGCGATTTTTGCAAATATTATTTTGTGGCAATTGTGTAACACAGTAAGTGAACAAAAAGGAGGGAATATAACAATGAATTACAGCAGCGAAACACTCTCTCGCATAAGGACACAGATTTATCGTGGGAGTTCGGTGCTCACCAGGGTAATAATAATGTGACATAATTCAGATTGAAAGTATTGATTTTATATTTATTAAAATAAAAAATTGTAACAAATTTATTCATTATGAAAGTCTAAATTTAATATTAAAATTTTTATGATTGAGCTTTGAGAGAGATTACGTGGAGGGTGGACAAGGTTCAGCTTCTTGTATATAGATGCATTAGATTCTGCACACAAGGTACAAAATATAAACTTTGCGTAGAAATAGGCCTTGAAATTTGTGTCTTCAAAATCTTTGAATGGCTTCATGTGAAGTGCTAATATTTGTGTGCATCCAAATTAACCGAATTACAATAATTAACTTATGTGTCTTCTCTTCTGTCTCTTATTATGATCGATCGGTGTGTGGAGGTATTTGTCCAGGTGCATGTGAAAATGTGGCAAATGAGGGGCAATGAGATACAAAGGTTCAAAAAAGAAAAAAGGCATTGGACAAAAAAAGAAAAAAGGTGAGAGGGTATTTTAATTGATACATGCGAAAAAGACCGGAGAGAGACAAAAGGCCAGTGGGGATCGCAGTATTTATCGCCGCCAACTCAAACTCCTTCTCGTGTGCACGTTGGGTTCATTTTGGAAGGGGCAGCAGATCACTGTGAATCTCGGTGAGAGCACAACAGTTTTTTTACACGATTAGTTTACACTCATGGACATCTGCCTCAAAATCAATAGAATTGAAGCATCATCGACAAACTTGACATTAAATCCATATGACAACTTTTCTGGATCTCCACTTCGCTACAGGATGGGCTTTGTTCTGACTCTATCTCTACAAGCCCAACCCAAGTAACAACTCCAGAACAACATAACTTTTCTAGTTTTCTTTTCTAATTTTGTACAGAAGTTGTGAATAAGTTCAAACCGGAGACACGAGAGCCTGCCCAGAAATACGCGGAATCAATGGTGTTGAATGAGGTACCTTTCGGCAATGGTGGCGTGAGTGGCAGCGCCGATGGGAAGAACATCTTCATCGATCATAAAAAGAGGAGAATGCCCGGTGTGAGTAGATCCCAGCGTCTCGTTCCTGATCCCTATGTAGAAGAAAGCAGCCGGCACGACCTCCGAAAAGAAGGAGAAGTCTTCGGCACCCATCATGGGTGGGACCACCCTGAAACTTGTTTCGCCCAGCAAATCCGTCGCCGCTTTCCTCACGTGCGCATAAGTTCTATCATTGTTCACTGTCGGAGGATAAATGGTGTATTCCTTTTCGAAGAAGTCTACTTCTGCCGAGCATCTGTAGACGCTGGCTTGTTCCACCATCACCTGTTTGAGACCACCAATTTGACTCACGCCGTTCGCTATTTACTTTATTACTCTAAATTAAGTATTCGTGACCGTGTCCCTCTCTGTGCTCGGCAGTTTCAATATTAAGAGTGGCTTGAACGATTCTTTTTACCTAATTTCAGATCACTAATCAGTTATATATCGGTGGCTAACCTGCTCTATTCTTTCAAGGAGCTGGTAAAAGCTTGCGTTAGAGAAAGCTCTGAAAGTCCCACCGAGAACCACTCTGTCCGGTATCATGTCAAGATTGTTTCCTCCGTCGAAAGAAGTCACTGAGACAACCTGAGTTAATAAGCCAGCCAGTCGTGAGTGAGTGACCAGTAATACGAATAAGTATTAAGGATTCGAAACAGAAGGGGCCATACCTGGGAATCTAATGGGTCTGATTCTCGAGAAACAATACCCTGTAAGCTGATGACAGCGGCCGAAGCAGCCAAGAGTTGATCAAGAGAGTGGTGTGGGGTGGCAGCTCGAGCCTTTTTGCCGCTAATGACAGCTCTGAAAAAGCCACAGCCGGCGAGCAGAGGTCCGGGCCTCGAACCAATAATGCCGGTTGGGAGCTGATGGGATACATGAGCGGCAAATATAGCCTCCACATCTTCCAGAGCACCCTCTTCTATCATTCGCTTTGCTCCATTCCCAGCTTCCTCCGCTGGCTGGAATATCAGTACCACAGTTCCCTGTGAAGCACACATCAATGGTCAAATGTCGGAGGAAATCAAAGTGCTGGAAGGTTTACTAAAGCTGATGACATACGGCATATGCCATTAATGATTTGAATAATACAGACACACATATGCGGAAGACAAGCAGAAACTAGTATCCTGTCAGAATACTCCGATATCTATTGACAAAATTGGTAAGCCTTCGAATTTGGATTGTAACATTTTGGATAATCAGACTTCCCTATACCAATCTAGTGCGCGGGTTTTAATCGGATACTAAATATTAATTAATTCCTGCATGTACAGTAGAGCGTTTTGTCAGCTACCACCGTTTGTCCTCTTATTATTATTTTCCCCTTAAAATGACTCCAAGTGAAATCTGAAATTGATCCTTAAATATTAAATGTTACTCCCTCAATCTTAAATTTAAAAAATTTTTTTAAATAAAATATTACATATCAATAAATCTCATTAAATATATTTAATAATCTTATCTTTTTAAAATAAAAATATAAATTTTTAAAAATATTCATCATTTAATATATTAAAATGATAAATGACAGAAATTAATTATAAAGAGATAAAGGATAATATTAAAATTACTGCATTTAATAAAATTTTAATTTACCCAAAATGCCTTATATTTTTGTACAAAATTTTTTTAAAAAAAATGTCTCATAATTTAAGTTAAAAGTAATATTTTTCAAGAAACCTTCTAACTCTAAATCTCTACCTTGAAAAAAGCCCCTTCTAAATCACCAGAAACTTCGGTTGGTTTTAGACCTGAGAGCCAAGAATTCTGTCCAGGACAAGACAAGAGCGGCCTCCATGATAATTCTTGCTTAGTGTCATTTGGTTTTAAAGATAGGATTTCTAAAAGATAAAAACTTTTGAAATGAAATTTGAATTCAATTGTTGTTTGATTTTTAATATCTTTCAAGAAGACATTTCATGTTCAAATATAAATTTTATTATAATAATTAACTTTTACTAAATCAATTTTTGTTAAATGAAATTTTTACAAACTAACTTTTATCCAAACAAACACATAATCATGTGATCATATAAATAGTGGCATCTGAATTGGTACCTCCTTCATTACAAATGGGCAAGAAAAAGACTACAGGCTTGTTTGGATAAAAGGGACATTTGGCATTTGAAAAACACTTCCAAATTTTTTAAATGTTAAAATTTATTTGAGAATTTTTAAATGGAGGCAAAATAATTTTTGAAATGTAGATTAAAAAAAGGTTTAGAAGTGAATCTTCAAAAGCAAGTCAAAATTTGATTTGAAGTGACAAATGAGAGTTGGAACATTCAAGGAGGAGAATAAGTATATACATTTAGATATAAATTTTAGGATAACAATTTTTATTAAATAAATTTTTGACAAATTAACTAAACAAACGCTACACTCTTTTATCTAACTTTTCAAATGTCCCATACTTGGAGATTCCATACTCCTCAGGACACTGAGCGAAGCTGTCCTATTGAATCACGCGCTCTGGTCAATACACTTAAAAGCCGGCCATATTGGATGACGATATTCGATAGTGAGCACCTAGGCTCAACAGCATATAAACCTTTCGTCAGGACAAGTTCCGTCCTAGTGATGCAGGAGATGCCAATCTGCCCTTCTCGCTTAAGTTCTGTTTGAATATTCTTTTAAAATTAATTTTAAATTTAAAATTATAATTTTAAAAAATTTTATCCAAACACCTCAATTTTCTTAAACTCTATTTGGTTTCTAAAATTTCATTTAAAATAAGTTAAAATTTATTTCATTTTAAAAAATTAATATCATAATCAATTCTTAAAATTTCATCCAAACACCATCACATTTTAATAATTAATTTTTTTTAATCAATTTTTTTCAATTAAAATTCAAACACACCCTTAAAGAAAAGCATTCAATTTATAAAAACATAGGATAACGGATTGATAAAATAAGAATGGCTTTTAGCTAAAGTAATAAAATGTTAGTAAATTTTATTTAATAAACGTTTTAAAAAGTAGTGGCTGAATATGAGAATGCCTTCCCTTTTGTTGGGCGGTCACGAATGGGTTGACCTTGCTCCATTGAAAAGGTGGGGAAGAAAGCAATAGTTTATATCACGGCTGCACATGAATAGAACTACATTTTGCAGTCCGCTGCCTGGTGATGGCTAAAAAGAGAGAAAAAAATATATTGATAAAATCAATTATAAATTAATTCATATAAAAAGATAGCATCTTTATTTTTTATATATATATATATATATATAAAAGGAAGACTTAGATGTAACAAAAGAAGGAGCATCTAGAGAAAAATACTTGATCTCCTCAAATACACAAAAAAGAGGAGAATCTGAAAAAAAAAAAACAATTAATAATTAACATGCAAACAACTAAAAGAAAGAAAGAAAAGAAAATCTACATGTAAAATGAAAGAAAGAAAGAAATATCATGAAGACTTAAGCGTAATAAAATATCAATATAAACTTTAATAAGGATGAAATGTACATGAATTTTTTAAACAAAACCACAATTTCAATTAACTAAATGCACATTTAACATTAATCTTTGATATATAAAAAAATAATATTGTATACATATATATTGTTCGGGAGAGCCAAATGGATAAGGCAATATACCTTGCCCATTAGCTGTCCCAAACACTAACCAAGCCCAAACATACCTAATTTTGTCTAGCTATTTTTTTTAAGGCTAGGCTAAATGAAATTTTACGAAGCTGGGTCAAGCATCTAAACTACATGAACAACCCTAATTTTTTTATTTGGGTGTGAGGGGTGAGAGATAAAAATGAAAAAAATGGGCAAGTCTAGTCCTTAAAGGTCTAAACCGTAAAACACAATTTTTTAAATTTCTATTGAATCTCGAGGCTCGATCTTTATTGAAAAGATTTAAGGTCAGGCTTTGAAAATTAAAAAAAGTTAGATATTTGTAATTTAATGTTACTTTTTTAAAAGATAATTTAATTCAATATAGTAATATTTAATATTATAATTTAATTTTAAAATTTAACATAAACTAAATCAAGGTCTTATATCATCAATAAAAGATTTTAAAATCTAAATGTGTCTTAGTTGATGCCATTATAATTCACAACAAAATTCAAAAAACAAAATAAATGAGGTATATTGATATAATCCTCACAAAATAAGATGAGGGATCAAAACTTTTAAATCAAATTGAAATCTCAAAAACAAGCATCATTAAAATATTGGACGCTCATAGCCTAAAAAAGAGATTTATGTCAAAAGAGGAATTACCTAAGAATAAGAAGGCTAAATAGTCAAAGCAATAGAACACTGAAAAGGAGACACCAAATCAAGAGAAGTTGAGTACATAGACAAGAGGGAGAGGAGAGGTGAGGCGAAAGATGGAGAGAGCTAAAAGGAGATGCGAGACAACTAGATAAAAGGCGAGGGCAAAATGGAGATATTGAGTCAAGAGATGAAGAGAGTTAGAGAACTTAAAATAATTAAATATTTAAGATTTTTTTCATTTGTCAAACAGCACATTTCAAAATAAAAGAGAAAAAATATAATAGAATTTGTAAGATCGCTCAAATTTGAGTTATCTTTTTAAAACTTATCAAGATCGAGCTCAAAAGCTTGGTTATCATAAAAATTTTATATTTTTCATGCTTAAACCGTTCTTTAAACAAGGCTTTGAGAATCTACCCTTGTTCTACAGTCCAGAGAGAAAAAAGGAGAGAACAGGAGGGGTGGATGGGAAAGGGTAACTAAATGGTTTAACAGCGGAACTCGTTTTTGTTTTCCATTGTCTCTCTTGGGTGAAGAGATCAACTGACGTACGTCCACAGTAACTTAGTTAACCCCACTCGGGACTTAAAGCTTATCCACATAGAATTAATGAAAGCTCTGATCACACTCTGCTTTCACTTTTCAGATGGTGTAGAGTATTTGAGGTTCTTTGGCTAAAAGTTGAGAAAGCTCGTAACTTCAACCTGGGCACCGCCACTCAAAGGGTCCCCTCTCAGAGACTTAATTATCATATGCAAGTGCCTCCAACAACTATATCGATTTTTAACATAAATTCGCTTTATTAAATATAAACAAAGAGATTAGAAAAATCTCCCTAGACCATGTACAGCAAAGACCCAAGGCCAAGGGGGAAAAAAAACTAATCACCGTACTCCGGTGAATAAACCAATCTTCTAAATCGGTTTTTTTCTGTTAATCAGAATCGACTGATTGAGAAGCAGAAGGAACAGCTGGGACAAATACTGTCCATGTGGCGAGTGAATAATACGTGGCGCAGGGTGAAAATTTCGAGGCGGAGCAGGTTTTTAGAATAACTGCACTGTGCAAGTTTCCAAACATGTGAAGTCGATATCCAACCGGAAACACGTGTCCACCACACCTTCCCCACACGACCGTTCGGCCCGCCGTACAAAAGCTAACTGAACGCAAACGGCATTTGATGGGATTTAAGTGTGGGTTTGGTTTTCAGTTTGCTAAAAGTTCATTTGGTGAAAATTCATTTGGAGAAAGTCAGTTTAATGAAAGTCAGTTGTTGTAACGAAATTTGTGTTTGGATATATTTTTTTAAAAGTCAGTTTGATATATTGAAAGTTGTTTGGTTTGTGATAGTGAAATGTGTTTTTGAATGTACAATTACCAAAAAGGACATTGATTTATAATGATTTATAATTTTTATTATATAAATATAATATATTCAAAATATTTAAAAAATATAATAAAGATTATAAATAACATAAATTTTGATCTATAATGCTAAAAATTTGATCTCTAATTATTTGTATTTTTTAATTTGTAATTTTAAAAGATGTAATAAAGATTTGTAATTTTTATTATACATTAATGTTAAAAATTAACATGATTAATTACTTAATTTATAATACTAAAAAAATTGATACCTAATTATTATTATTAAAATAATAATTATATTTTTAATGAATTAACTATTTTTTAAATAAAAAATAAGAGATTAAACTTAGGGTAGTATGGTCAAATAACATCCTACTTTTCAAATCCACTTTTCAAAAGCTTCAGACAGTTACGTTTCAGAAATTCACTTTCAGCTACTGTTTGAATGTACTTTCAGGATGTGCTTTTCTGCCAAATATTTTACCCAAACAACTTTCAACTTTCTGAAAGTAAAATTTTACTTTCTGAACGTGAAACGAAGGAAAACCAAACGCATCCTAAGAAATTAAATTGAAAAGAGAAGATTGTATTTGCATACAGCGAATCATACATATAAATAGAAGTATGATCAAACCACAGGGAGGATTGTTTTAATATTGAACGAGTTTAAACCCCGCAGGCCGTTATCGGATCTCACCATTTCAAAAAGGATAGAGCCATAGAGGATGCAAGTTTAGGGAAAGGAGAGTAGCTTTGAATAAAAACATCAAAATAGAGCGACAAAATTATTTTACTGCAGTAGTGAGATGGAGTAGGGAATGGAAGGACAAACCTTCAATAAATGCTCGCGACTCTTGAGGATTTTGGCAGCACCAACGAGCATGGTCACATGTGCGTCGTGCCCACAAGCATGCATTTTACCCGCAACTTTAGATTTGTACTCCCATTCCACTGCTTCCTGCAATCAAGCAAACCCACGCCCTCTCATCACACTTCTTCCGCAGAGTGTGAAATAACCCAATTTACCTTGTCGCTTCTAGACGATAAATGCATTATTGAGCTAGGCCTAGCTAGGAGAGCACCGAGATTTCTCTTACCTTTTTTTTTTTAAGGAACAGGAAGGAAAAGGTACAATTTAGAGGGAACCTGAATGGGGAGTGCGTCCATGTCAGCTCTGATGGCAACAAAAGGCGGACCGCCCGTGCCGATCCAGGCCCGAATACCGGTCTGGGCCAGAGGGTATCGATAACTAACTTCCATCCGATCCAGCTCCTCTCTTATCAACCGGCTCGTCTCGGTTTCCTCGAAAGCCAGCTCCGGATTCTCGTGGATCCTCCTCCTCAATCTTTTCAGCCACTCCACCATCTCCTGTTGCCGCGCGATTCCCAGCACCGCCTCCGACCATGCTTCCGTCCATATTTGGCAGCCCGATAGCTCTGTTCCTGATCGGAGCGTCTGGTTTTTGCAAGCGGCGGAGGTTGTCAGTGAGTTCTTCGTCCGGGCTTTTTTCTCCAGGCCGTGACATCTCCGGTCAGCGGAGAAGACTGCATCGTAAGAGGATGCGGCCAGCTCGGCGAGGGACAGGGTTAAGTGTTTGGGATGCAGGAGGATCAATAGGAAAGTAATCGCACAGGAAAAGCAAGATTGATTGATTTTCATGTTGGTCTTTGTTTCTCTGAAACTGAGAGAAAGAGAGAGCGATAGTACCGGAGGTGGAAGTTGAGAAAGTGTGGGCTGAGAAAGAAGGACAAGGAGGACGGGGAATTTAAACACGTGGGAATGAAAAGGAAGGATATATATTTAATAATAATAATAAAATTGAATAGTTTATTGTGAGGGTGAGGATGATAGGGAATAAGTGAAATAAGCACGTGGAGAGAAGAGGGACGGAATGCAGGGCCAGGAGCGATGACGTGACGTGATTGATTTGAATAAGGATGTGTTTGGTTGGGAAAATAGAGCGAGTGGGATGAGAGGGAAATCCTGATAAGTTCCCTTTAACAACAAAAAGAAAGATGTTTTCAAATCATATTTTTAGGAGAGAATAACAATAATAAAAAACACTCAGGTAAATTATTTTTAAAAAAGATTAATAGTAAATATTATTTTAAAAATAAGTCATTTTTTTATTTTTAAAATAATTTTATATTAATTTTTGTCTATAAATAATTTTTAAAAATAATTCTTCTTATTTTTAAATTAAATTTATTATCCTCTCGGTTAAAAATATAAAACATTTTTTAAAAAATTAAATTAAAAATTTAAAATATTTTTAATTTTTTGAGATATAATTATTATTTTTTAAATATTTTTATTAATAAATAATTTTATATTTATTAAGAGGTTTAATTTAATTAAAAATATTTTATAATTTTAAACGGAGAGAGTAAAATTTTAACCGTCCCTTCAAGCTCGTGGGCGTGAGGCGAAATGGGGCAGCTGGGAGTTAGGGCCCCTCCACTTTCACCGGCCTTTTCTTCACCGAAATAATAATTAAAAATTAAGCGTGTATTTCCTATTGTATATTGATAGCATGATTAGTTTAACATATTGCGCATGTAGTCAGTGATCAATGCTCAATCTGTGCAGTGGATTCTGCAATTATGCGTCAATATTAGATCCTGGTCAAATAGATAGTTTGCAGGGGGAAAAAACAAAGATCTATTCAACAAATGAAACTTTGAGCATGATTAATTGACTACAACAAAAAGATAATCATGTTGTGAAAATTTTAGAACAATATTTATGATAAATTTATTTTTGTAGAAAAATATTTCATAAATGTGTTCTCTATGATGTTTTATACAAGATGAAGATGTTTAGTTATCGTTGACAATGTCAATCGTGTATAAGTAAAATATAACAAATAGTTTGATTGAGTATTATAAAGAGATACAATATGAAATAGATTGAGAAAAATTCATAATTTTTTACATCGAATAATCAAAGACATTCTTGTAAACAGCACTAAAATTCTTACAATGGAGTGACTATATATCATCATTAAAAGTTAATATTTTTAAACATTCGGTGCTTCGAATATGAGAAACAATAACGTGCAATTAGTTTGTAGGTGAAAACAAAACAAGTCAAGTATAATTCAATATAAAACAGGCTCATTAATGATCATGTAAAAGGTCAGTATAATGAAAACTACCTCCTTATAGTAAATGATAATCTAGGATCACGTACATGGACACCTAAAAATACGATGTATACATTTTTTTATTTTTTTTATTTCATCCAAACATTTCTTAGGCCGGCGTCAAAAACATGTTTTCCCATTCAAATAACTATTAGACATGTATTTCTGTGCAACTCCATTAACTTACTAGTATTATGCATTAAAATTAGTTGGACACACGCTTTAAACTTTATTTAATGATCTGGAGGTCTAATGTTGAAATTAAATTTAAAAAATCTATAAAATAAAGATTATCAAGTGAATTCATGTTTCCATCATCTTTCATAATATACAAGTTTTCTTGGGGACAATATGTGCATTGCTTTTTCAACCACAATCAATATAATATAAAGAATTACAAATATTGTTATATAAATTTGAAAAGGTCAGATCAATAATGAACTTTACTAGCTCATTTGAAGCATCAATAATAACAAATTAATCAAGATCATAATATTCACATATCATTCATTGACTCTAGTAATAGTTTTATCATTAATTGAAATAGTCTAGTCAACAAAATCTTGAAATGTACTAATAAATGCTCTTGTATTTGTTATCAAAAGTTTGATGCTTCATGTTGATGTAAGAAGATGACAATTATCATAGATGCACGAAGGGTTAATGCTGATAAAATGTTAAAATAATTAATTAATATTTAATACGTTATATATAATGTTAAAATATATTTTTTACTGGGGGATTCAAACCAAGCCTGAATTTATTTTAAGCCGTGTTTTAAAAATTTTCATGTTTATTTGACCTGGCTAACCATGTCAGACCTGGATTTACCAGTTTTAGTTATAAACAGTAGGCCTACGCAGCGTGAGTCCACAACAGTCTACACTCTACAGTGTACGTACCTCAGTAACTACACCCTTTAATTGGAGAGCGACTTGCCAACCCCCACGCCATTCACGGCCTAAATGCTTCTTCCCATTTTCATTCTTCCTTTTGTCATTTTTTTTTTTTGTGGCGCACAAGTATCTCCATAATCATATTAAGATCCCGATCAGGTTCAATCGTTTTCTTTGAAGTCAAATGCAGGGTGTTTTATTATTTTCCTCCGGTGGTTTTGAAGCATAAAATTTTTTTAAAAATTTAATAAAGTTAAGCCATTGATAGAATTATTTATTACAGAAAAAAATTAAATACGAGTATATAAATTAAAACGTGCATAAAATGTATGAGAATCAGAAAATAGAGGCGAGAGATCATTAATTAGAGGTGAAGGGAAAACACTAATTAATTAAAACATGGTCGGAAGAAAAAAGGGCGACTCATGTATCTTTCAAAAATATGATTTGTGAAGAAACTTGGCGTGGACGGTGAGATGAAGAACACGACTCCCAGGCCCCACCCAGTCCAATAACTTTGGAGTTTTCTGTGTATTATTACCTTAATTGTTTTCATAATTTTACTTATTACTGTCGCTCCTGTTTTTCGATGGGCCTTGCTAATTAATTTGTCTGCTTGTCTTGCCCCCTTTTCAATGGCAACAATGGAGGAATTAATCCAGTTACAATGAGCAATGAGTTAATCGGACACATTTAAATATAAGAGGTTCTAATATTGTTATATTTATTCTGACACTAAGACATTTTGTATGCTATTTCCTATTTGATCGAGAGCAAAGCGATTAATTAGTTATTTCGAAATGAGGAAAATATTATTATTAAATTAGGGGAAGCTGTGGGTGCATGAATATTCAACGAGAACAATACCATGTTTACCAAAATATACCAAGGATGTGTAATTAATTAATTAATTAATTACTATATTCTATTCCATCTTATTTACAAGTCACTTTAACAATGTTCTGTTAGAATGAATAAGGATCTTAAAACTTATTATAATTATCTTTAAAAGTGAAACAAGTTCTTAACTTTGTTTTTGTTCAATTTGCATATTTTAATAATACATTTTCATTTACAACCATTTAATAGAGTAAACAGAATTTTAAAATAAAAAGTCAATAACAAGTATTTTAAATGAAATTAAAAACTCATTACCTTTCTATATAAATGGGAGGAGCGAAGCATATCATCAATTAACAATGCAGTCAATAAAAGCCAATTCAAAAAACAATCACAACATTGAGGAAAGGAACAAGGATTGAAAGAACGCAGGAGTAGCTAGTCAGGTGGAAGAATGAATGATACAAAACACAGGATTGAGACGCAATTATTAATATACCCGAGCTTTTTAAAGGATTATGGCAAAGGAGAAGTTCCTATTCAGAGAGAATTAAATATTAAAAAATATAAAATACTTTTAATATTTTAAAGTGTAATTAATATTTTTTTAAAGTGCTCATAATTAATAAATAAATCACTTTATATTTACTTTAAAATAAAATAACTTATTAAATAAAAACACTTATAAAAAATAATATTAATTTAAATACAATTAATTATTTTACCAGTGGGTAAATTCATATTAAAAATATTTTATATTTTTAAATCAAAAGAATACATCATAGCTCCAACCTATATGGGTATGGGTGCATGTATACCATACCTAATTGTGTATAAGAATATGGAGAAAGATCAAAAGAGATCGCAATTACTGTACTCCCTTCAGTTCACTTTATAGATAACATTTTAAAAGGATGAAGTGATCCACTTTATAAGTCATTGAATAAATAGTGATATTTTATTTTAAATAAAATGTCTAAACTATTCTTAAAAAGTATGAGAGAGAAAAACAGAAAAATAATGTTATATAATTTATTTATTTTTTGAGGGTTATTTTTATAATTTTATAAAATTTTATTCTTTATATCTTTATTATATTAATATTGATGAGATCAATAAAAATAATTTATAAATAAGATTAAAGGAAGTAGTTTGCAGGTGCAAGGTAAGAAGTCACAACAGCCATACATCTCTTCCTCTCCCTATGTATATCCATTACATGTCTAAGTCACATCAGTCCCATCATTAAAATGAGTGAGAGGAACAGAGGACATTGAATGTGGTACCACATCTCCGGGGAGGATCCACCTGCATATCAAATTATCTATCGCCCGCCGCTGCAGGACAAAGGATATACCGAACCTTGCTCCTAATACAAACATGAAGGTGAATGCCTTTTCCTCTCACAACTTGTTAGGCTCAATGTGTTGCTGCCAATGCCATGATCCACAGACAACTGAAGAGGGCTCTATAGTGAACCAACTTGTGACTGAATTCACGCCCGGTTGCGTTCACATATTGAAACTAACGGCAACTCAAACGAATCATGCCTATCAACAACCCCATTCTCACCGCAGGTAAAGATTCTCTCCTCTCCTTTCGTCCTTTTCCCTTTTTCCCCTTTTTAGTGATTAGATTAAAATTTAGACGATTTAAATTTAATTTTCTATAAAATTATTATTAAAATATTAAATTATAAAAATATAAATAATAAAATTCAAATTATTAAAATTTAATAGGGACAATTAAAAAATAAAATAAAATGAAATAGTTTGAAGGAAATCAAATTTGAATCATCCAAAATATTAATTTAATAATTAAAAATTAAGAAAAAAAAAGGAAAGAGAAAGGGGAAGGAAAAGGAGAGAATCCTATCCGGTCTCACCACATCCTCCCTTTCTCAAATTAAACTGCTCCCACCGCACATGCTTGGGGCGGGCCTAACGACAGCCCACACAACCAATCTTCCTGACTGGTGTTGATCAGTGATCACCTAACCACCCACCCCGTTTTTGTTAACAAATACTCATCACTTTCAAAACTTTCAAGTTATTATTCATGGAATATGCGAAATCTATTCTCTGCTAAAATTAACCTTTTATTTGAATTTTTACTTCAACTAAAATCGTGATACTTGGATGCCTACTTTTTTTTTTTTAATTTTACTTCAATAAAGAAAGTGCACCAGAAATTCCTTTTCCTGAGCCCGGGGCTTGGTTCAATGGGAAGATGTGGCGGCGAGTTCCTAAGTGTTTGCAATTCAGCTATGGTCTAACTCGTGCTCTCACTCAGCAGTGACAAGAATTTTGCCGTGTTCACTACTGCTTCTGTGCTTCATTACAAGAAACCCAGCAAGACGGTCAGTGCTCAACAACACAAATTTTACCACATAATAGACCCCGGGTTGTTAATTTCAACGCCCCAACATCTACATGATGTCCAAACACGATACTTTCTACAGTTTGATCCGTAACATAATCACTTCAGAACTGACGTTCAGGGCTTTCATAAAAAGCCTAGACATTTATTTCAAAGCCAGATGGTTCTCAAGTTCAGATATTGGATTTCCCCCCTTCCGTGTACAAGACAGACTTCCAAGATGGGTTCCTGGGAACAAACGTGTCCTGCCAACAACATTATCTGTCACGCAAGGAATAAAATGACCCATGCACACACCACTTTGGCGTGCGGGTTTAAAGCCGCCATTATGGCATCTACAAGTTGATATTTAATCAGAAAAGCAGAGATGATTGGTTACTACCGAAAATCAACACAAAAACTAACTGAAGATCGCAGACACAATTACGCGAAGCTAAAACAAACTATTTATCCCACAGGTAAATTGCAACACGAGCCTATGAGTACACCCCCGTCTCTCCCTGTGAGAACATGAAGTGTTGAATATACTTAAATAACCTGAATGCTGAAGCGACGAGCACGAAACATTGCCTAGTCGAGATGCAAGCATACAAGGATAACTGACGGAAATAAGTATTTTCCAGTTCTCATGAATTTCTCCTAACAATTAAGATGTGAACAAATAAGTGCAATCTGTCAGCTAGTAAGTGGTCTTGTATTCAGAAACTCACAAAAGGAAAGGATAACAAGATCCGGGCAGATTCAATTTAAGGTTACGGCTTCAAGAAAGGTGAGCTATAGGGCCTTCAAAATTCTAATAGATAAAGTAAGGGATAGTTGTCCCGGGGGATTTGCTGTGTAAACGAAACAAACTCAGGAAGGGATGGAAGAAATTGAACTCACAGAGACATAAGAACAGGTGGGAATGACCAATAAGGAATGGGACTGGGCGTGTTGAAAGGCCGAAACGCAGAGGTGAGAGGCCAAGCCCAAACCCCTCTTGGAAGACGGTACAAAAGTGTGGATCAAATCCATCACCTTATCATCGTTTCTCAGCACGTACTGTATATACGCCTCCTTATCCTCCGTCTCGAACTTGTGCTGCCTTTCGTTCCATACTATCTTGGGAACAGCCCCGGCACCACCCTCGCCTTCCGATTTGGTTGCCGCCGCCATTTGCCCTGTGTCTGCGTTGTGAGATAACATTAGGCAATTGATAGCGGACATATCAAAAGTCAAAACCAGAATTGATTAAGAGCAAGGCAAGACAAAGCAGACACTGGGTAAAACAAGTAGAAATGAGGGAAATTATAGTGTTTGAGGGAGGAGATTGAGCAACCGCAGGTAGAAGGAGAGGGAAAGATAACCTACCGAGAAAAGAAGAGAGAGAGAAAAGAAAAGGGGGGCGGGGGGAGACGTTGAGTGGGGTTGGGAAAGAGATTGGGGAACGCAACGGGGATGGGAAGGAGGCACTCAAGATGCGTTCATATGATACATGAGAATCTAGGGGGAAATTGTCTGCACTGAATAGGGGAGATTATAACTGGTCAAAAAAAAAACAAAAACGAATAGGGAAGATTATTGTTGAGAACATGGAAAAAAATAATATTTACCGAAAAGGATCTTAAAATTAATAATTATTGAGAAGGACCAAATATCGTAATATAAATTTTAAAATGTAAAATCATCGTTAATCAAATCTTCTCTATTTTTTCTAGCCATATCTCGAATTTGATAGTTACATGATTGGCAATAGTAAATAAACAAATTTCTTGTGCCTTGAAAATTCGCAAATTTAAATATAAGAGGAGTTAAATATCAACATCACATGCTGGCAGAATCAATTCAAATTTAAATATACAAGTTTTGCAAGTTTTGACGCATCATCTCCAATTTGCAGTGGTTTATTATTTAAGGTTAATAAGCAAATAAAATCTGAAACTTTTAAAATATATAAAATAAATGCTAAACTTTTAAATTTATAATAAAATAAATTTTGATCATAAACTTTTTTAATATCGTTACTGTCCACACGAGCATTGAAATGATCAGGGTTAAATTCGTAAAAAAATAAACTGTAAACAGCACTTACAGTAACAGCATTAAAAAGTTAACGATCAAAATTTATTTTATTATGAATTTAAAAGTTTAGTATTTATTTTATATATTTTAAAGGTTCATGGTCTAAAATAATTTTTGAATAATAGTTTAGGTTCTATTTATTCATTAACCCTATTATTTATAATCAACAATGAATTTGATAATAATTGTAATAATTTTTTAAAATTATATTCAATTAATTATTTAAAAAGTAATTATTTTTAAAATATATTGATTTAATTAAATATAATACTATATTTTTATTTTTATTTGTGTGGAATTGAAATCCATATAATTTTATTTTTTTAAATTTTTTTGTGACTCATGTAATGCCCTTAATTATAAGGTATTATTAATAGGTTTTATATTAAAGTTATAATAATCAATTATATTTATCCTAGTCCTTCAAAGTAATTTTAATTTTTATGGTCCTTTATAATAAATATTATTTCTCCAGATCATTAACAATAATTTTCCCAAATAAATATCAGATCGGCGTTCGCGCCTATTTATTTATGCTTTTTAAAACGAACCGATATTAATAGTTTGACAGGTAATTATTTATTTAATGAGGCATGATTAAGAATAAAAAAGGAAATTTTCAATAAATACACAAGATAATATATAAATTTTTATTATATTTAGCTCTAAAATATCAAAATCATTACCGATAAAATGGTACCGATTATTATTTTGGGCGAAGTGAATTCCATTAATTCAAAACAAGAGCCTGCAAAAACAAGGGCAAAGTATCACAGCCATATGAGAACGGAATAGTCTGAATAAATAAGAGACACGAAATCCTATCGAGACAACAAGACGCAAGAAAATCAAAACTCGGAAAAAAAAACTATTGGAATCCGCGTCTACGGTAGAGGGGATTGTCTCCTGAAAAAATAGTGATAAACTGCAGTCACAGGGAATGCACAATTATGGTACATCATAAAGCTTTACTGGTGACCATCCCACTATAACCCCTCCGGCTTGCTTTCAATCGGCACGGGATTGGCCTGCACGGGACGAGAGAATGATGCCCACGATGAGGCCGTAGAGAGCAAGAGCTTCCGCAAATATCAGGATAAGAATCATTCCCACGAATAGCTTTGGCTGCTGGGCGTTAGCCCTGAAAAACCCGCAACAAAAATACCTGGCTCAGAATTCTTGCCTCTTTTCATCCATGACGCGATTAAAAATGAAAAAATATGGAGCACAGGCGCGCAGATGCTCGCACGCACACACATATGAAGATGAAAGAATACGACGATAAGGTGTCAGAAATGAAAACATCAGAACATCGAAATGCAACAGGTAAACGGCGAAGCCTCACGTACAAAACAAGCGTACACCAACGCAAAATGCTTACAGAGATCACTCAAAAGTTGCACAAAATAAAGCACAAGTTCCAAAGACAATTCTCAAATATAAGTCCCTTCAATTGATACTAAATTCATTTACATGTAATTTGCCTTTCGAAATGCCAATTGCTGAGACGGGGAAAAAGATGGACATTCGCATAATACATTAGTTTCAACAAAAAGCAAAGTCAGTCGTGCCACACAACAAGCAGTCAATTTAGCCCTGAAACTCCCTCATTATCTTGGTAAAAGCTTACCCTTAACTCCAAACGAAAATGCTCAGAAAAAGCAAAGTCAAGTGCTATTCCAGCAAAACCCAGTTGCACTGTAAATAATTATCATAACTCAATACAGATGATCAGCATAACATGAAATAAAGTACATGAGTTTACTCATTGCGATTGCACAAGACTACTACAAATTTCTAACTGCAAGAAAAATAACAAGCATAACAAAGTAAAAAGTTATAGGTAATAGCTATTTTTAACTGGAAATTTCAACTCAGCAGGAATTTTCACAAACAAAAACTTAACTGATTTCTTAATCCATGTGAATTAGTTATTTAGTTCTGACATTTAAAACCGGAGGAGTAATTGTTTCCATATTTTTCTCCATGAAGACAAGATTTACAACAAATTTGTCAATTGCCAAAGCAAATGTTGTAAAGCAACTAGGTACGTAAATGATCACTATCAATCCAAAATATATATATATAACAGAAGACGGTAAGGCATCTGTGTCCACAGCAGTATATCTTAAGCAACCATAAATCAAATGGAAACAGCAACAGTATCCAACTCTGACAAATTTGAAGTTCTGAACTCCTTCATACATTTTTTTTTTTTGGATTAAAGTTAAAAAAATGGCAGCTCATGAGAAGACAAAGGATTGATCACTTGAAGTTGTGGCAGGAGTCAACATAGTCTTATTTTCCATTTCATACGGTTGACAAGCCCAATTTTATTTTACTATTTACAAAATTAAGTACGAGACATAAAAAACGGATAAACTAAGAAAAATAAAACATACCGAACTCCAGCATCCCCAACAATTCCAATTGCCATCCCAGCAGAAAGTCCGGCAAGGCCACAGGCAAGGCCGGACGATAAATGGGCATACCCATCGAAGAGATAGTAAGATTTTGCTTTCGGGTTAATTCCTGTACTAATAATAACAGCTATGATTAATCCATAAATACCCAGCACTCCAGCCATTACCACTGGGACAATGGATTTCATGACGAGCTCTGGCCTCATGACTCCCATGGAGGCCACGCCTACTCCACTCTTTGCCGTTCCGTAAGCGGCTCCCATACCTGATATCGAATTTAAAATAACTAAGTACGCAAAATTTCAATGCTATCTATTCCAAATCGTTGTTTTCTGGGATTAGCACAGGGTATACGAAAACAAAATCAAAATATCACTCGACGCCCAGAGAAATCTATGATTAAAGTAGATCGAATAAACGTAAATCGAACGTGAGAATGACACATGGTTTCCCTGATCGTCGAATAGGAAAGTGTATCCCAGTTATTAAAAGTGAAACATGCTAACAAATAATAGTCTACATAAGCTTCTACGATGTCTTCAGGGGAAAAATCCCGAAGAAATAAATTACTTGTTAGGATTTCATTTATTTTCAACTTCGAAGACAACATAAAATTAAGGCGATGAATGTCAATTCATTAATTGCATATTTCCTTGAACCAAACAACCCCAAAACAAGAAAATTACACCCAAGTGCATTTACATAGAAGTTTCGAGCAAATTAGAAGACGACAAAGGAAAAAAAGCGAAAAAATGAAATGAGAGTTACAGGAGAAGACGAGGGCAGCAGCGGCTCCAAGGAAGCCGAAGAATGGAGCAGTTTCGTCACCGCTGAAACCTGCCATGGTTGATCGCTGTCGAAGAGGCAGCGGGATCTTCTTTCTTTTTGGTAAGGATGACGAAGGCCAAGAGAGGGAGGTTGCAATGATTGACGATGGTCTAATGAATCAGGACGATGGTCGAGCCACAGGGGCGGGGGGAGAGAGGCGTCGCTTTTCCGTACATTCTCCGTTTTACCCTTAGTCCCCACTTTGGGACTCTGGAGTCATCGTTGTGGCACGTTTCACTTGGTCTCTCTCGCATAGCCTTATGATTGGGCTAGATAAAAGCCCATATTTTATCAGATTCAAGCAGTTTGATTTTGGGCCTCATTGTCCATGTCAACCGCAATAAACCCCTAAATCTATCTTCTTTTTGGTTTTTTTTTAATTGTTGTTTGTATCCTATCGGTGTACTAAAAAATTCAATCTTTTAGATAATAATTAAAAAATGATGTATATGAAAATAGGAAAACATTTGTAGCACCTTAAACTACATGTTTTGGTAGCACTGTAAATAGTAAAGAAGAAAAATATTAAAAGTGGAAGAGGATTTGTTATGAGTATTAAAAAATTAAGTAGTTGTCCATGTCTTGTAGTTTATTCAATTTTTATTTGGCTTAAGTGGTATACATGTGGTTATATGCAGAGGATAGCTCAATTATATTCCACACGTCCAAAATCATCCTCTTAGGTTTGTTTGGTCTTATTTTTATTTTTGAAAACATTTAAACAATTTTTTTATTTTTAAAAGTAGAATAATTTTCAAAAAGTTCTCAATCTCTCAAATTTTACAGTTTGGGTAATTTTTAAAAGTACTTTCAAATTATATTTGAAATATAATTTTATTAAACCTAACAAATAATTGGATCTCTCACGTATTAAACTAGAAGCCAAGCGTACTCAATCTCTGTTTTTCTTTTTTTACGCGGCTCTGTATATGCTATAAGCTTTATTTATTATGTTCTGTTTTTAATTAAAGAAAACTTTATTTATGATTGGTAGTTGTCAGGGTCCAGAGAGGAGAAGGCCCAAGAATACTCGAGACTCGAGGGAACTCTGGAGAAAAGAGAAGGGTAAAATAGCAATATATACGCAAAGTAGAACCGTCTTTTGCCGAGCGAGACTGAAGCAGAGAGGGTATCAGAAAGTCGGGGGGAGATGTTCTTCTTCTTTGTGGGAGGGTTAGAGCAACAGGTGCGTCAGGTGCTGAAATCGGGTATGGGCAGATGTGTAAACTGTAGCTCGCCGGCCGATCTAGTGGAATACGACAAGGTGTTGAAGCTCTTCTTTGTTCCCGTTTGGCGGTGGCCAGGCAAGGACCCACTCCTGTATTGTAACAATTGCAAGTTCTTCTTCCCGCAATCTTACTCCTTCCCCTCGCCACCCAAGACCACCCCGTCGTTGCCGGAAGTCTCCGATATTTTGCGTTGCCGATTCTGCGAACGAGTTGTGGAGCCCGACTACAGATTCTGCCCTTTCTGCGGCTCCGAACTGTAATTTACTTCTTGTTCCCTCTGTCTGAGTTTGGCTGTCAGTCGCTGCATATGAGTTTTTTGGAATGGTGGTTCCGTGTCGAACTAATAAGAAGCTATGATACATGTAAATTAGATTCATGTGAGTCTTGTGTCAATTTCGTTAATGATCTTTCTTGACTGCATTGCTTGTGTGGCTCAAAATTCTAGGTCTACAAAGTTAGACGACAAAGTTATGACTGTCTATTTAGTAAGTCTGAATCTGAATTCATATTATTACAGTTGAGATGGTGGTAATATCAAAAGTGGAAAAGAATGGATTTGACGCTTCCATTTATTTTTATCTAGAGACTTGAATTTGGGAATTGCCTCTGATCAATTTCCCGCATGGTCGAAAGCGCCGTGGGATATGCCAGATTGGCGGTGACATGTAAGAAGACGCATCGCTCGCCCTGAGGTGAAGAGTGAATCCTTTCTCGTCCTCACTTCCATCCCATTTTATTCAAATTAAGGAAAATTTTAAATTTTATCAATTTTATTTAAAAAATTAAAGAATTTTAATTTTTATCTTTAATAAATATTTTTAAATTTTATTCGTGATATTTTTATTTAAAGTATTTAATAAAAAATATAAAAAAAAAGTTGAGATTTGACAAGTGTTTTATTAATATAATTAAATTTTTTCTTCTTGTAAATAAGATCAGAGCAGAAGTCATTTTGTGTATTTTTATTTCACGAAGAGTAGTCTTGTTGCTCTGCGCTCCTAGGTATCTCCATAGTCCACAATTCCTCAGCGCTCGAAAGTTAAAAAACTCGCTTCGAAGGCGCATCCGTCTTTGTGACAAATTTTCTTTCCTGGTTGAGAGTTTATGCATTGTTTTCAAGTGTACATACTAGATACTCCGTTTTTATAAGAATATAAATATAACAAATAGGCCTTGCAATTTGTCATCATTATTAGATGACTGATTAGTTTTAGTTTACATGATTAGAGCAAAACAAGCCTTGGAACGCTCCACGCCTCCGCCCCTTGGCAGAATTTGAAGTGTGAGTAAAAAGGGCAGGTGTGAGATCCCAGAGGTTGTCCAAAGGTAACCCATGTTCTACTGCAAGTTGCATGATAATCTGTCACATGCAAGATAGCAACCAAGTAAGATAAGAAGGCTTTTCAGAAGAACACGGAATCATAATTCTTGCTTCTTGCCTCACAATATCTAAACGATAAAATGTATAGTTTCAAGGCATCTCTCTCCGTGGATTTCAAACCCAGAAGGCGGTGGCAAAGATGGGAGGGTAGCTGTTAGGGATTCTTTGCCCGGTCAAATCCAGATAATGCCACGCTTTCCGAAACAGGGCAAAGACTTCACGTTTAGCTGTCGAGTTTTTCCGGAAAAAAAAAATGGCATTTTCTCACATTTTCTGTCGGTGGAATATTCCCAGCCTGATATAGGTAACTTTCGGACATTGTGAGTATCAGACTGCCAGGGTACACATATGAGCAAGCCAGTGCCATATATACTGCTGCGTGTAATATTTTTTACCAATGCATGACAATCCTGAAGAGAGAGCAGCATACAGCATCAATATTTGTTTCGGTGTTTACTAAATATGGTAGGGGCATTGAATACGACCATTGCTTACAAAAGGTGCAGGGACACGATTGACGCTCTGTCCTCTCTGTTCACAAGTATTTTGTTCGCATCCAGGTTTCTCATCTTTTCCTCTAAAGGCCAAAGATAATCGATGCCTCCTTAAGACATTCTATGGGGTGCTGAAATATCAAAGGAGTAACACATTAGTGACCGTTAACATTCACGTTTTGTCTTTTAGAGCAACTTGTGCCAGGGGTGAAATTAATTTTGATTCTTCCCCCCCGGGGGGGGGGGGGTGTTGGACAAAAGCAAAGAGCAGGTAACCATTTGCCGCTGCTAACTGTTGGAGTTGTTGAGGTCCCACCGGGAGTCGAACCCAGGTCGCTGGATTCAAAGTCCAGAGTGCTAACCACTACACCATGGAACCATACGTCAACGCATCCCATCAAAAAATATTTTGAGGGTTGATTGTTATAATTCTGCTTAGTGACTTTGCACTGTTTTGATTAACTTCTTCAGGCTTTGGCTTGCCTACCTAACTCAAAATAAAATTAGTTAACCCTGTCAAATTTGCCAATAATTTTACCAACGAAAAAAATTATTCGAAGTTTGTATTTGTTTTCAAAACTACCTTCAATTCTTCTCTCCACATCATTAATCTTCTTTTTGTCCATGTTGTTAATGAATATGATAGCTAAGAGAGGACATTTTGAAAACGGAATAATAATCGTTGTTTCAAAAAAATAAAAAAACTCAATAACAACGATCAGGTGGAGTCTGAAAAATAATTTGTAATGAGGATAAGGATATTGACGATTAAGTAAAGATAAAGCAAGGGTATGCTTGATTATTAAAAATGAATGGAATGAAATGAAATGGAATGGAGTAAAAAAATTAATATAAAAAATATCCTTCTTCCTCATAATAAATATGATAAAACTCATTAATATATACTATAAATGTGAGAATCATCATACTCTCTAAAAATTTCAATAATCATTATTCTCAATCTCATGAATTAAATTACACTCTCCCTTTATAAATATGGTTCACTATTCTTTTTAATTTCTTAATGTTTACATTTATTTTTCAATTTATTCCACCACATTTATTTCAAGTAATCAAATGTGATCTAAAAATTGAATATGAATTTTTGGTTTTTCACCTGATCATTTAGTTTCGATTAATTGGGTCTAGCTAGTTCAAGCTTGGATAGATTATAAACCAACTCATCCTCCCCTTTTTAAAGAGGTATCATTGCTGCAAGTCTCTCTTCTTCTCTTTAGCTTTTTTATTAAGCACAAGATCATGAAAAATTGTGTAATGAAACAAAAACAAATTAGATCATGCCAAAAATTATAAAGTTTCTATACTCAAACGTAGATAATTGAAGATCGTGGTATATAAGCTGTCGCAAGAAAATTGGGAAGTAATATTTATTTACTTATTTGAACACATAATTGAAGATCATTGTCCAACCTCTCATGACAAACTCCTTAATTTTCTTAATTATTTTTTTTACAGAAGGTAGCTTTTGGATGTGTTGAATGAATAATTGATAGATATGCTTCCATCGAATCATAATGGATATTAATTTGTAAAAACTTAACATTTTAACAAAGAGTAAGACCTCCCAAAATTTTCAAAATATCACTATGCTACGACGATACCTAAGATATTTAAAGAGTCCTTTAATCTAATTTTTTTTATCGTGCCACAACAAACAACTGTGCTATTGATGTTGATTAAATTTTCAATATTGAGTTTGGCCCAACTTGTTTAAAGAATTTTAGGTTGCTAATCAATTGTTGGATGTAAGAGAATGATATATCATCGTCTAAGTTATCATCTTTAAAATAAATTTTTTTACATCTAGCCTCATGAATATTTCAACATGCTTGAGCAAATAGTCTTTGCCAATGCGACGGTCTTGTGCTTGGGTTACATCCTTTCTTTTAGCTTTATAAACTTTCATTCACGCGTGGCCTCTAGTAGTGGAGCCTGCAACATTTAAGAATGAGAGGACCTACACTACAAGGTAGATGTGCATGAGATTTTTTTTTTTTTCAAGTACTAAATTGCTTGTATTTTGCATTCAGATTAATTGAAAAAAAATTAGTTATATTTTAAACCCAAAAATATATATTACAATTTGGAGGGAGTACGTAGCTAATACTCAATATTAAATGTGTTCACAGATTTGATTTGGTTTGATTTTAAGAAAAAATAAATTGAATCAAACTAATTGATTCACTATAGTTGGAACCTATTCGAGTTTTTTTTTTAAATCAATTTGGTTCAGTTTTTGAGTAGTTTGATTTGATTTGGTTTAGATCGTTATCAAGTTTGAACCTTTTTAATGAGACATTCTTCATAATCATTAATATATATTTATGTTCACTGATAATTTTTAACTATTAATTATTATTTACAATGAAAAAATCTTAAGCACAAAAGAATATTTTTTAACAATTAATTAGTATATTCAACTATTAAAAATTAATGTATTATCTTTAAAATGCTTGATTATAAAATTAAATAATTATAAATAACATTTAACTAATTGTAACTTATTGTTACTAATAATTTACAAATAACTAATATTGAAAAAGGCCAAAAAAATTTGACAAATTTATAAAAAAAAATATAATAAATATAATAAGACTTGATTTAGTTTGGTTCAAGTTTTCAAAAATAAAAACCTGAACCAATTAATTTTGTCAACAAAAAAATTAAACTAACTTCATTTATAATTGGTTTTGATCGGTTCATGTCGATTTAGTTTAATTTGATTTAGTGTGATTGGTTTGAATTGATTTTGAATACCTTTACCCAACATCATAAAAAATACCAAATCAAAGTTGAGCAGAATTTTTTAAGGGCATGAGCATCCCTTGCAGTATGGATAAATTTAAATACTAGAGAGAATCAACCCCATAAAAATATTAATAACAATTATAAATCTTGAATTATAAAAATCATCATAAAAAACTATGATCTCTATCTACATTGAATTATTTTTTGTTAATTGAGGTGTACTCCCTCCGTTTCTATTTGTGTGATAAAAAAATTATATCACGTAGTTTAAAAAATTAATTAATTATATTAATTATGTCTAAAAATAAAATAATTGGACTACAATATCTTTTATTAACTATGTTAATCTAGTCTTCATTAATTGTTTCTTCATGAATTATGAGAGATAATTTAAGAAGTTTGCAATAAATGCCTATTAAAAAAATATGATTTTGTTTATATAAAAAATAGACTAAAAGTGATAATTTCTCTTATAAATAAAAATGGAGAGAGTAATTCACAATGGACTTTTGTAAATTTCTAACTAACACTATAGTAAAGATTATCACGTATCTTTTGTTGATTTCTTGAATGATAACAAAAAATTATAAATGATTAATTTTTAATTTACAACTAGCTATATTTTATACCCGTGCAATGTATGAAAATATTAATCTTTATTTTTTATTTAAAGTAAATAAAAAATATAATATTTTAATGAGTTCATTTTTATAAAAAATAGACAAATATAATATGTTATAATACTTGAGATATGTAAAAGAAATAAAAAATCAATTAAAAAATTTATAACCACAATTCTTCATGTTTTTAAAATTGAGGTCACCAAAATTTAAATTCTCACATCCCAATCATTTTCTTTGATCCAAACAAATCATAAAAATTAATAGAAATTAAATTATGAGTAAATATTAATTTGATAGTTTTATAAAAATAATAGTTTATAGAAAGTGCGAAGTAAAATTGTATATGTGGTTAATGATAAACAGCTATGATAATAAAACTTAAATATATATTTTTATTTCCCTAGCATATTTTTGATTAAAAAATATAAATAAACAATAACTTATTGTTTTCATAAAATTTGTTATCCCACATATAATCAAATATAGACAATAATTTATTTTAATATATGAATTTTTATATCCAAGTAAATTAAAATTCTAAAAATAATAATTAGAAAAATTCTAAAACATATACTCCATCCATTTAAAAATATAAGATATTTTTTAAAAGGTTAGTTGTTAAAAAATGTAAGGCATTTTTAGTCATTTGAGATATAATTATTTTCTTTTTTAAAAGTACCCTTATTAATAATAATTTTATATTTATTATAGGGTGTTTAATAGGAATAACTATGAAAAGATAGAATTAATTAAAAAATATATAACTATTTTATTAGGGGGTGAGATTCGATTAAAAATGTCTTATATTTTTGAATGGAAGGAGTATCTTGTTTTAGAATATTTTTATTTTAAATTGTATGAATATCTTATTTTATTTTAGTATTGGCTATAACAAAAGGAGGATAAAAATTATTTTTTGTTAGAAGATGTTTTCACATTTAATGTTCACTTATATCTCGAATAGAATTGCATTTAATAGGAAAATACTTTTTAGCAATAAAAAATAGATAACAATTTGTTTTATTTTCACACAAATTATTTTAAAATATGATGTCATGTGCTATGTGATCTTTACATAAATTAAAATTTAAAAAACATATCTTAGTTAAAAAGTCATTACTTATAAATATAAATAACCACTTATTTTATTCAATAATTTCTTATGCTTGTGCATGTAAAAAATATACATAACACACTTTTTTTTATATGATTATCTAACCAATTTAGATTCAAATATTGTTTAGAATAATTTAAAATAGCTATTTTACAAATAATTTTTGTATTCACACAATTTTTTGTCATTTTATATATATTAAAAAAATAAATGACATTTTATAAACAAAATTTATTACCCTTACAATTTGTTATTAAAATTTAAAAATTAAACTATGATGTACACAAATAAAAAATATGTTAAAAATACTATCATGCAATATAAATTATAACTCATTTTATCTTATAATGTTATCTTATAATGTGTTACCTAATGTATATTTAAAAAGCGATGATAAAATTTGCTTCAATAACAATTTAGTCATTTAACTTTGTCTCAATAATAATTTAGTCTTTTGGGCTTATTATTTGAAGAAGAGGTAACATACTGTTAAAATTTGCTAATGTAGATAAAAAAATTCAATTGATAGTCACATAAATTAATGATAAAATTAAATTGACTTGAAGGTAAATTTGTGTTTATTTAGCCACATGTAATATGTTAAGTTATCAACATATTTTACATGTCAAATTAATTTAAGGGTCATTTTTTTTTCAAAACCTAAAATATGAAAGTAAAATTTTTTAAAAAATGTAAGAAATTAAATTAGTAAAAATTAAAATTGAGAAAATAAATTAATAATTAAGAAAATTTGAGGGACTTAATGCTTCATTTTCTTTTTAAAAATAAACAATGTAGCTTTTCTTTAAATTCATTACATATGGATATTAAATATATGAACACCAACTTATTTTAGTTTAAAATTTATTGTATAAGATAACAAATTAAAAATACATCTGATGCGTAAAGATAAGCACTTTATTTTATAAAATTTTTTTTATTCTATAATTTATTTCCCAGTGCATGTAAACCTAAATTTCAATGGATGGAGACTTGAATTTTTATAATTTATAAAAATTAAATTTTAAATTTTATTATGAGCTTTCTATTTACATTTTTATATGCTTTACGCATTTAACATTTACAAAAAAAAGTAAATATTATTATATGATAAAATATTTTACAATAGTTAAATTAAATTAAATAATTATGTGACACTTATTAAATGATATAATTTGTTTTAGTCATTAAATCCAAATATAATATATTTTACAAAATTATTTTAGTTCTGTCATATACAATCCATTGACAAATTTTACTATGTATTTTCTTAATTTTTAAACATAAGCAAAATTTTCACAAGGTTTGTTGTTATTTTTATAAGAAAAAAATTCAAAAAGTATTTGTGACATATTTTCTTTATTACTCTTCATTAAATGATAGTATCGTTAAATTAGGAAAAAAAATAAAATGTTCATTACAAGTACATGTTAATCTAAACTTTTTAATTTTAGACATATTATTAAATTTAACCAATTTTTCAAACTATATGAATTGATTAAAATTCACTTATATATTGAAATGAGTGAGAATAAGTTGATTGATTTAAATAATAAAATATTATAATCATTTAAATTTGAATGTTAGACATATACAAAATACAAGCAATAAATGATAAATCTCCTACACTTGTAAAAAAAAAATTTGATCTCATACATATTATTTTTTTATGAGTTTCATATTCACAAGCATTTTTTATTATGGGTTCCACGCTTATTTTTTTTAGTTTGTAAGTTATATACAATTAATTATCTTATACATATGTAAAATACAAGCAACAAATGATATATCTACACATTTGAAAAAAAAATAGATCTCATACATATTATTTTTTTTATAAGTCTCATATTTACAAGCATTTTTAACTATGAGTTCCACATTTATTTTTTTATTTTATATGTTATATACAATTAATTGTCTTATACATATGCAAAATATAAGCAACAGATGATAAATCTCTCACGTTTACAAAAAATACTAGATCTCATGCAAATTATTTTTTATGAGTCTCATGCTTATAAGTATTTTTTTACTATGAGTTCCACACTTATTTTTTTAAATTTTTATTGTAGGTTCTATATAAAATCTTATTATACAAAAAATAAATTAAGAAAAAAAAAGAAAAAACTATGGTACTATTCATTTAACTGTAAATAAACAGTACCATGTATGCACTTTACAGTATATATTGATTATTTTAAATTGATGTTATAAATAATTTTAAATGTATTTTATAAAAATTTTAAATAATTTATTTATACATTGACAGCCAAAAAAAAAGTGAATCTATTCCTACTATTTATAACTTACTTTTATAAATTTTCAACTAATATTATAAATAATCTTAATATATTTTTTCTAATTTTTTAAATAATTTATTTATTTATTAAAAATAAAAAATTAAGAATGCAAATTTTCAGCTAATATTATAAATAATTTTAAATATATTTTATTAATTTTTTAATTGACTATTGTCATTCTTTTGTCATAAGTAAGACTCATGATTTGTTCTTAAAATTTTAATAATTTAAAATTTATAATTATTATTAATATTTTTATGAAATTTGTCATTTTTCTTGAATATTATGTATATTCGCCAGTCCCTCTGCCACTATTAGCCACCTGAGATGTCACCGCCTCGAACTTATTGCCGTTTTGCCAGAAGAAAGTCGACCTTGAAAACAACGATTCATTTTTTTGTTTTTTGGGGACCTGAAAAAACAACGGTTCATTGACATCCTAGGGGAAAATAACAGTACTTGATTTGATTATTCCGTCATTGTCACGCTGCATTCCTAGCGACACATGTCACAGGTCTCAAACTTCATGTAAATATTTCAGGTAAAAAAAGAAAAAACTTCATGTAAATATTCAGGTAAAAAAAAAACGCTTCACGTAAATCATTAATATCAAATCAAATCACGCCAATATATCTCAAACCTTATTGTTTTTTTTTTTTCCTCATGGCAGCTTTGTAATCTCATTCCTCACTCACGTGACTCGCCTGACGCTTTTGCGATTTTGCCTTGACGTGTGTTAAAAAAATTTGACAGAATTACATCTAAAAACTACTCAAATAAATTATTTTAAATAATGACATATAAGAAGGTGGATTTGTTTTTTTGTTTTTTTTGAAATGAAACTTGTTCCTATTATTTGTGTGCGACTAATTTAGTTGAGTGTAATTCAATAATTTTTGGTTACCGTGTTTTCGTAATGATAATGAATGCTAATGAATGGAGACACAAGAGAAAAGAAGACATCCAAACCCCACCAAACAGTTATCCACTACTGTTGGAGCCCCATGAATTACGATCATCATCCTGCTGCTGCTGCTTCTCATCTCTCTGTTTGTTCTTTCTGCTTCCAGAGTCGCCCCTAATCGTCTGGAACCCGTTCCTTTCTCTCGCTAACTTCCAATACATTTCCTTCTCTCGTCGCCCTCGTTCTTTCGCGTTGACCATCGCCGTCGCAGTCGAAGCTGCTGATTCCGACAAAAGATGGAGAAATCCGTGTTCAATAGAGATGATCACCGCAATCGAACATTTTCCTATTCCTATTCTTCTCAGAGAGATGTCTGTTACAGGTTCATTCTCTCCCTCTCTCCGAGATTCTGCCTTGCTTTTCTGAAACGTGTTCGCTCTATTTTACTCGCCAATTTTTTCTTCGTGGAAATTGGAATCTTAATTTCGTTTTCGCTGTCGGTCCTTAGTGTTTAAATACTGATCTATTCAATTTCAGAATACTGGTATGCAATTGAATCGAATCCTTGATTTTGAGGGGTGTCAAATGCAGTTGTTGTCGTCCAGAGGTAATGGGATTTTAAGGGTTCTATCTTGTTATTTCAATTTCTTGTGTTGTCAATCATGACTGATGATGATAAGGATCGTAAGATAATGCCATTTTCACTATTCGTGGGTCTTTGCTAATCTTTGTGGGAACACGTCATATGATAAGGGCGTATGGACGGTGCCCGAAAAAAGATTAAATTTAGATAAACGAGGTACAGAACATGAAAGCTTTGAAAAATTCTGATCAGAAGGCATTTTATTGAATCTTCCAACATGCCTTTAAATATGCATTGCAGCTCTGATGGATAGAAGAAACCAAACTCCACCATTTTGATTCAACAACAACAACAACAACAACAACAATAAGCCTTTATCCCACTAGGTGGGGTCGGCTACATGGATTGCAAGACGCCATTGTGCTCTATCATTTATTAAGCTTTTAGAAATATTATTAATTAAGAGATCACGTTCAACAACTTCCAAGAGTGTTCTCTTAGGCCTTCCTCTACCTCTCTTAATCGGACTCAAAGTTATATGTTCCACTCTTCTCACTGGTGCCTCCCTTGGTCTTCTTTGTACATGCCCAAACCATCTCAACCGATTTTCTACCATTTTTTCCTCAATAGGTGCCACCCTCACTTTTTCACGTATGTGCTCATTTCGAATTTTATCTTTACGTGTATGTCCGCACATCCATCGTAACATTCTCATCTCTGCTACTCCAACTTTATGCTCTTGCTGTCCCGTTAGAGCCCAGCATTCACTACTATATAACATTGCCGGTCTGATAGCAGTACGATAAAACTTTCCTTTAAGTTTATTAGGCACCTTACGGTCACAAATAACTCCTTTAGCTTTTCTCCAATTAAACCACCCAGCTTGAATTCTATGTGAAATATCTCCACTGATTTCGCCATCATTTTGAATAATGGCTCCCAAATATCTAAACTTTTCCACTTGAGGTATGATTTGATCTCCCAATTTCACTTCCAAATTATTTTCGAATAGTCCTTTACCAAATTTACAATATAAATATTCCGTCTTACTTCTACTCAGACGAAAACCTTTCGACTCCAATGTCCTCCTCCATAACTCAAGTTTGCAATTAACCTCTTCTCTTGTCTCTGCTATAAGAACTATATCATCCGCGAAGAGCATACATTTCGGGATTTCCTCTTGAATATGTTCCGTCAAAACATTTAAAATCAAGTTGAACAAATAAGGACTCAGAGATGATCCCTGATGTAGTCCAATCTTTATAGGAAAATCCTTTGTTTGACCACTAGGCGTTCTTATACTAGTTTTTACCCCCTCATACATATCTTGTATGGCTTTAATATAAGCAATCCGTACTCCCTTTTTTTCCAACGCTTTCCAAAGCACTTCTTTTGGTATACGGTCATAAGCTTTTTCCAAATCAATAAAAACCATGTGTAGATCTTTATCTTTACAACGATACTTTTCCATTAATCCCCTTAGTAGATAAATTGCCTCTGTAGTTGATCTACCTGGCATAAAACCAAATTGATTCTCAGAAATACTTGTCTCCAATCTCAACCTGTGCTCAATTACTTTCTCCCACAATTTCATTGTGTGGCTCATGAGTTTAATCCCTCTATAGTTAGTACAATTCTGAATATCTCCTTTATTTTTATAAATAGGAATTAATGTACTTCTCCTCCACTCATCAGGCATTTTCTTGGACCGTAAAATCACATTAAATAACTTAGTTAACCATCTCACCCCTTCTTCACCTAAACATTTCCACGCTTCGATAGATATACAATCAGGTCCGTTAGCTCTACCATTTGCCATTTTCTTAAGAGCTTCCTTTACCTCCTTATCACGTATTTTTCGATAGAATGACAAATTTTGTTCTCCTTCACCAGTTACTAAATCCTCCAAGTTACTAGATGAATCCTCTCCATCATTGAAAAGTTTAGAAAAATAAGTCTCCCATCTATTTTTAATTTCATCATCTGTAACTAAAATTCTTCCCTCTTCATCCTTAATACACCTTACCTGTTCTAGATCTCTTGATTTTCTTTCCCTACTCTTGGCAATCTTATAAATATTTTGCTCTCCTTCCTTCGTCTCAAGGTTCTTATAAAATTCTTCAAAAGCTTTGGAACGAGCTTCACCCACAGCTCTCTTAGTTTCCTTCTTAGCCATACGGTACCTCTCCCAATTTTCCTCATTGTTACACAAATGTATGGCTTTAAAACAGTTCTTCTTATACTTGATTTTGTCCTGTACACTATTATTCCACCACCAAGACTCCTTATCTCTCAGACCAGAACCTTTCGATTCTCCCAAAACTACTTTTGCAACCTCCCGTATCTTTTTAGCCATATCCTCCCATATGATGTTAGCACTTCCCTGAGAATCCCAAATTCCTTTATCCAAAAGATTTCGCTTGAAAATATCTTGCTTCTCACCTTTTAATTGCCACCACCTAATCTTTGGTGTTACTACTTGTCGACGTTTTTGGATTTTACTCATAATACACACATCAAGGACTAGGACCCTATGTTGTGTCGTTACAGCATCTCCAGGGATCACCTTACAATTTTTACAAAGTTTTCTATCTGTGTTCCTAACCAAAAGAAAATCAATCTGCGACCTTGAGGCTCCACTTTTGTAAGTGATGAGATGCTCATCTCTCTTCTTGAAACAAGTGTTGGCAATCTTAAAATCATACGCCAATGAGAAATCAAGAAGAGTTTGCCCTTCATTGTTTAGCTCTCCAAAACCAAAACCACCATGCACCCTCGCATACTGACCAGCTTCCCTCCCGACATGCCCATTAAAGTCTCCTCCAATAAAAATCTTTTCACTCTGTGGTATGTGTCGAATCAACCCCTCCAGATCCTCCCAAAATAATTCCTTAAGACTGGCTTCTGTCCCGACTTGCGGCGCATAAGCGCTAACAATATTAACAGTCTCACGTCCAATTATCATTTTTAAAGAAATAATTCTGTCTCCAATTCTGCTAACTTCTACAACGTTCTTCTTCCACTCCTTATCTATAATGATGCCTACTCCATTGCGTGCACTTACTTTTCCTGTATACCAAAGTTTGAAACCTTGAATATCCTTAGCTCCTTCTCCACGCCATTTTGTTTCTTGCAAGCAAAGGATATTGATTTTCCTTTGAATCATAACCCCTACAACCTCTACAGATTTACAATTTAATGTCCCAACATTCCAAGTACCAAATCTAATTTTGCTCTTATGGACTAACTTCTTTAGCCGCGTGCGTCCAGAATGACGCGGTAGCCCTTGCTCATTTAACACTACATCCGGGCGCCGATGCAGCGGCTCTAACTCACTTATCACTGTACTCGAGCCATGCAGCGCGTTACTTACGGGCAACGACCTAGCATTAATATTATAACGTCTATTGTCCATGTTCATGATAGATTCAACAAATTTTTACATTGGCTGTTGATGGCCTAACACAACCCTCCTCCTTTACCCGGGCTTGGGACCGGCTATAAACATAGGCGGAGTTATTTTGATTCAACCACAGACGAGAAAAAATGCCAGCAGACTAGAGAATATTTAGAGACAGATCGAACCTGAACAGATTTTATAAAATACAATTTTGAATACTTGACTTTTATATACGGGGGGATCCAATTACGAGCATAAAGTCCACTACTCCAAAATTTAAGCTTTTATGAGCGACTTAAAAAATACTTCTTCTTTAACGCAAGATACAGAGAAAATCCATCTTTTATCAACTGAATGAGATCCTTCGGTTGTTTTTCCCTTCTCACGTCGAAGTGAGGGGAAATCTACATTTCATTCTTATACACTTGTTGCATTTTTTTCCTTGAAAATCCATAACCGGCAAATGCTAGATTGTTTATCAAACAAGTGTCCGGCTGTCTCAATTTTTTTTGTATTTCTGAGTAAAGATTTTGTTCATTATGGAAAAAACTTGGCTAACTTGACTGGACAAGCATTTTTTATGAATCAGAGAAAACGCATCTGGAGGATAATTTAAGAGAACAACTACAAGCACTTTTAGACTTCTGCAAGTTCATTCCTCCAGTTTGTTAGTAATGTTGCCACCGTTGCTAATGGAGTATTGACCACATGACATTAGAATAGTATGTACTTTTCTGAATCGCGCTGTTTTTGTTATTTGGCATCAATCCGCAGCAGACTGGATCGCTGGATAATGACCTTTCCTTGGAAAAGGAATGGATTGCTTACTCTCAATTCCTAAAGCATTTGAGCTCAAGAATATTGGAGAAGCAGATCGTGTACAATATTATTTGTCACTTAAATGCTCTGAAGGGGGAGACTTGTGGATTGCAATCTTTTCTTTTTCTAATTCTGGATTCTGTTGTGATATAATTGATCTGTTAGCTTGAAGGATCTGATGTAAGCTGCTATCATGATGCTACTTTTATGCATTATCGGTTTCCAGAATTAGAATGAAAAAAGTTTGGATTGTGAGCATTACTTTATATGTGATCAAATTGTTACGGCAAACACGTTCATGCTTAATTTGAGTCCTCCGGTTCCGTCTTGGAAACATCTTAAATTGTAGCATTCGCTTTTCCTTTTTTTACGAATATTTAATTAGTTGTAGAACATGTGATTTGGGCTGGTTTGAGTATCCTAGGCTAGAAAATGGAAGACAGGGATCTATATTTACATTCCACTCTCAAAGTAAAGAAGTCATATCTTCTATTGCCAATCTGTGTGTGTGTTTGTGTGTTTCGTTTTGGTTCGTTCTGCAGCAATTACCATACCTTCTTATTTTCTTTCTCTTGATTTGGCAGCTGCGGTGCTTGTGGGTATGAGCTAAATCTGACATCCTCCAATCGGAACACCTCAACCATCGGTTCTAAATATGGGAAGTCCATAAAACGAGGGATCATATCATTCTTCAATATTGACGAAAGCAGATTTACCCAGGTTGATGAGATTCAATGCGTGCCACATTTCTCTAAGCACTCGTGGGGTTTGTTTCGACGAAGAACAAAGCTCCTCTGTAGGAAGTGTGGCAACCATATTGGGAATGCGTACGACGGTCACGGTTCAACCCTTGTTCTCGTGTCCGATGGAACAGAGTCATCCTTAAGCAACGAAGCATCCCCTCACCGGAAATATGACATTCGCATTCGTGCGCTACAGCCTTCGTCTTCTGAGGAATGTGGGGTCCCTGTTTTTGCTTGACGTTGCTGCCCAAGGTTGTTTTTGCTTCTTTCGTCCTAATAACGCGTACATACCGTGAACTTAGAAAATACGTTGAGGAAGTAAATAGTGTACGTAACGTTAATACGTTATGGTAAGGTTTTTGACTTCCCGTGTCCCCGGTCTCTACGGGCTGTTTGGTTGGGAAGATGGGGGAGGGAGGGGATGAATTTTGCTCCTCTTATGCTGTTTGGTTTGGAAAATTGAAAAAGGGAGAAAGAAAAATTTTAAAAAGTCTTCCCTCTCCTTCCCTCCAAATTCTCCCCTCAAAATTGGAGGGATTGAGAGGGGAGGGGTATAATTTTATTGTATAATGACCAATATGTCTCTTCTTTTGATTACTATTTTTCATTTTTTTAAATAATTTCAGCAATGACAGATTGTTAATAATATATTTAATAATGATAATTACTATGTATGCTTATAAATATATGTTAAATATATTCATTATATTTTTTTAAAATTTTTTAATAATATGAGGATAAAATTGTATATATATGCATATTTTTCTTTCTTTCTCTTCCTAACTAAATAAAATAATATTAAAACATTCTCCTCCCTTCAGTTGCAGCCCTTCTCCTCCCCTCGGACAAATCAGAACCTGAGAAAAATTATTGATGGCTAATTAATGAATATGTGAGTTGTAAGAAACAAACTGAAAGATATCACGGATTTGGGATTTCCGGAAATTATATTAACCAATACTGTGGGAGTCGAGGAAATAAATCGTTTTGCTCGAGTGAATAGTAGGGAATTTGATTTTCGTTCTGGGTTTATTTGTGGTTGCATATAAGCTTCGAAAAAAAGGCTCAAACAATTTTTCTGTACCCGAAGGAGCTTGGTCTACAGTCTACTAAAATTACCAACTCTACTTGTACCTGTTCTTGTTTCAGCTTAAATGAAGGTTATCCAGATTTATTCAAAAAGAAAAAAAGAAAAAATACCAACTCTACTTTTCTTCTTTTCTTTAGTTTTTTTTTATTCTCTCTATTTTCGAAACAGTTCTCTCCTGTTTATCTTTACAATACAAGTCAATATTTTCACTCCAAGGTTGGCTCCGGACAAGAGATATAAGGAAAAAAGGGGGGGGGGGGGGAGGAGGAGAATCTTTGCTGCACTTGGGTTTTTGTTGCATTTCTGGCGCTTTATATAAAGCAGCTATACTAATTATAGAAGTCGTCTTTTTAACGAAATAAACATTTTACCCACACTATTTCTTTGAAACACATAGTTGCAAGAACAATGGAAACAATGAGATATTAACAAAGCTTTCATCGGTTTTAAATTAAACAAATTGGAAAAAAATAAAAATGAAAGAAAAGAACGGATGCGAGTAATTTTATTCTACAAGAACTTTCAAAATCTATTGATAACTTTAACATGCATTCAAAACAACATTCCAATACAGCTTAGGTCATACTCAGATAGAATTAAAAAAAAAAAAAACGGACACACACACACGCACGTATACATGCATATAAAATATTTAAATTTTAAAATCTAAATAGTTTCTGAATATTTTTTTTACAAGAAAAATTTTCAATATTTTAGAAATTAAAACTTGCACTTAACGACCAGAGGTTTTATCTAAACATCTGGCCAATATTTTTTTTCAAAAAAATCTAGTGGATAGAGTTGATGTGCCATTGCAGGATTATTGTCTAAATGACCAGTAATCCATTGGAAAAAAAAAGAAAAAATAAAAACAAAATTGCACGAGTAATAATTTTTTTTATGAATAAAAATAAAGGTAATAAAAGTGAGAAATTGGACTAATGATGATTGAATTAAGTAGAAGAAAAGCGATATTGGAAAAATTATATATTTTCATGAAGAAAAAATGTATCATATATTAGATATATTTAACTATTACAGAAAGAATTATAAATTTGTTATTGAACTTTCTAGCTAGAGAGATACTTCTATAGTATTTTACTATTTTTTTTCATTCTTTTTGTTCAATTCTTGAATCATTTTCGTGGCGGACTAGTACAGAATTCGGCCAAGAGAGGGGGAAAAACGGGGTGGGGGAGAATAGAATGCCGCCAATATGTTTAGCGTGTGATCGAATAAACAAACCGTGACGATAATCAAACGGGGCTCCATCATTGGGAATTTATAATGCCAACGTGCATACAGAGAATGGTGACGTTACATATTTTTTATACGGCAAAATAACATGATCATCTACTTTCAAAACGATAATAGCGTTCAAACCCACACCGCATCCATAATCAAGTTATATTTGCATTAATACCATTTCAAAGTAAGCAATAAAAAATATTTCGTAAATTTGAATTCAAACAAAAATATTGGGGGGTCTTTTGGGTTTGATCGCACGCAATCAACATAAATATGCATTTTTCTCAAACAGTCAACCGATCCGGGCCAAAAACAAATGCGAGCGATAAGCTTAGGATAATTCCCCACATCTTTATATATGATATTTTATACACCTCCTAAATATACGAGTGTGTGAACGTGAAAGGGTGTGGCAAGATCTGGTTAAGCAATTCGGAACGAGTCTACCATCTCTGGTATTATATAAGAGATCGCAAGGGATTATAAATGCCACACAAGTAGAGTCGAAATAGCCAAGACCAGTGTCCAATATGGAGAGTCTTGGCAGCAAGAAATTTGTGAGCTTAGTCTCTTGCGTTTTGGTTCTTTTGTGCTCAATGAACTCAGTTTCTGTCGCTCGAGAGTGCAAATTTCCTGCCATCTTTGCCTTCGGTACCTCTAACGCAGACACCGGCGGCTACGCCGCTACCGAAATTTTCCCTCAAAATTCACCCTACGGTGAGACTTATTTTGGCAGACCTGCAGGAAGGTACTCCGATGGCCGTATATTCCTCGATTTCATCGGTAAATTGATCTCTTCCTCTCCCTCATCGGTTTACTTATTTTGTATGTCAATGCACATATTTACATATCACGTGCTTTTTCTTCGGGCAATTTCAGCCGAGAGTTTTGAGCTCCCCCTGGTGAGCGGATATTTTGATTCTGTTGGGGCCAACTACTCCCGCGGAGCAAGCTTTGCAACCCTGGGAGGGACCATCACTACCCCGCCCTCAGTCGGCCCATTCTCCCTCGTGTTGCAGTACTTGGAGTTCATACGTTTCAGATCCAACGCAAAATTCTACAGAGAGCAAGGTCAGTTTCCGACTCGATAAATTGCGTCGCCCGGCTTCAATGAAGCCCGCACTTGTATACCTAACATACATACGGGTTCCTTTACTTATTTGATTTTTGGCTGACGGCGATGTTTGCTCTGCAGGAGGCATATGGGCAAGCATGGTGCCCAGAGAAGAGTACTACGACGAAGCTTTGTACGTAATTGATATCGGTCAGAATGATATCGACGGCTTGCTTTTCTCCAACTGGACCGTAGAGCAAACTAATGCTACCATACCTGCCAAGGTCAACGGCCTCGCACAAAATATCACGGTAGATATTTCACAGCTCATCAATGACTAATTATATTAATTAATTAATTTAATTAATACTCACATGCTACTCTTGATTTTGTAATGAATTGAAGAGCATATACGAATTGGGAGCGAGAAACATTTGGATTTTCAACACGGGGCCGCTAGGATGCTACCCGTACTTGCTGTTCAACTTCGACTACGAACGTGACGCCGCTGGTTGTGTGAAAGCCTTCAACGAGCTGGCTCAATTTTTCAACGCCAGGCTAAAAGAAGCGGTGGCGAAACTTCAGAGAGATCTTCCACTGGCAACAATCGTGCACATAGATATCTACACTCCGGAATACGACCTGATCAGCAACGCAGCAAAATACGGTAGGGCAAGACGGCAAGTATATAGTACAGAGTAAAAGTGAAATGAAGATGGATACAAATTAAATTGACAAGAAAACACGTGCGTGCAGGATTTGAGAAGCCGCTGGAGGCGTGCTGCGGGTTCGGAGGGCCGCCGTACAACTACGTGAGTAATCCGAACTTGAACTGCGGAGGGAGGGACGTGATCAACGGAACGGAGGTGGAGGCGGTGGCGTGCGAAGATCCGAGCGTGAGGGTTAGCTGGGATGGGTTTCACTACACGGACGCGGCCTACAGCTTCCTGTTCAAGCGCATCTCCACCGGAGCTTTCTCCGATCCCCCCATTCCCTTCAGCATCTCCTGCCGTCCTTAGCTTCCGACATGGATTAATTCCTGATTTCCAATAACTCTCTTCGTCTGCTCTTTTTAATATATCAATAAATATTGCTCCCTCCCTCCACCTGTCATCTTTAATTTCTATTCATGTATTTTCTCCTTTCAATAAATTCAGTCTTGTATTCAAACTGCATTCTGTTCCCTCTTTATCTCGCCTCTAGATACAATGGCATCTAATTTCAACGTTAGCAATCCAAATCATTTTTTAATAACGAAATTGCACAAAAGTCACTCCATGACTTGATTGACGCAATTAAGAGTCTAAACAGAAATCATAATAACTAAACTGATGACTTGGACGGATAACATCATCCATGTTAGAACTTAGAATATCTCCAATCAATCCAGATGCCTTGTGGAAGAACGACGCAATACCATGTACACCATGTCTTTTTCTACACCCGCCCCTTTCTCTTAACCCGATTCATGCCCCTGCATGGCAGTCGTAGCGGACTTTCAGATGTTAAATTAGAGTAAATAATAAATTAATCATTATCATCTGTCCATGAAATAAATTCTACTGTTCTTGCATCATTGTTAATGATGTATAATTCATAATTTACTATAGGTTTTACACTTTGATGTATTGATTCACAAAAATTCATATTTTTTTATGGGTTAAAACGTACTATATTTTTATTAAAAAAACTGAGTCGAAAAAAAGATTTAAAAAAAAGTGAACAGTGCATGAACTTTTTGGTCACTCTATGCGTATATATATATTAATCATAACGTATCAAGTGTATAAAATTTTTAATGACGACGTGAAAACGTATATTTCAATTAAAAAAATTATACATGTATGTGTGTGAAATATGTCTTCTCCGATGGTCAAATATTAATTCATTGGGAAAAAAAGTAGTATGACCATGTATAACTGTAAGAATTATATAACAGAAATGTAGATTAAAGTTAATAATTCAAATACTTTCAAAATATAGATTAAAAAAGGGTGCAAAAAGATTTTTCTTTTCATATATCTTGTGTCAAGTGTTAGCCCTGGATTGGAAGTGAAATTTGGAAAACTATTTTTCGCTCGCTCTTGTACTAAATAAGAGATAAAACACATTCTTAATACTTGAGCCATTGATAACAATGGGGGTTAAGTGGAAAGGAACTCAATGTTCTTTAAACGAGGTATGTGTTCAAACTTTGTGAAGGAAAACAATCTTATTCAAGGGTTGACATGTTTTAAAATATAACTTTATAATGTCACGTACCAAATAGTTAATAAAAATTCAAAAATTAGTGCTTCAACTTTGGACTTTATAGAGATCATGGTACTGGTATTATTTTTCATTTTTAATTGCTTGGTTTTTTTTATGATTTCTGTGGCGGACTTTTTCGGTCAATAATTTTAGGGTGGACTCATCTTATTTTTTTTCATTTGATTTATATTTGTTGTTTCTCTTCTAGAAAATAGCAGCCTATTTTCTCTGGGAACGGTAAGATGGTGTTCCTGAATAATATTGTATGCCTTAAAAAAATAGTACACTACAAACTTTCTTTAGAGTGTGATGAATTAAATAAAATAGGAGAAATAATAATAAAATCACCCAAATTATATAAATAGTAATTTGATCCCTTAAAATATTATAATTGTACAGAAGTTTTTAAAAACTTCTATGTCAATGAATTTTAAAATAAAAGGATCATTTTACCCTTATTAGAAATAACAAGCCCTAATTATAATTTTTACTTAAAAAATAATAATTTTTATTTTATAAATATTAAGAATTGAATAACAAATCACAACTTATTAAGTGTAATTTTTGTCTCAAATAACAAGCTCTAATCACAATTTTTATTTAAGGAATAATAACTTTTATTTTGTGGATCGCAAGAGTTGAATAAAAAATTATAATTTATCAAATATAACTTATATTTATGAAAAATAAGTTTTCAAAATAATAAGCTTTAATAACAATTTTTGTTTAAAGATTAATAACTTTTATTCAAAGAATCGTAAGAATTAAACAAGAAATCATAGCTTGTTGATAAAGGATAAAAATAATATTTTCAAATTAAAATTTATTGACATGAAAATCCTTAAGAATTTTAGTAAAATTATGATGTCTTGGGAGATCAAATTATTATCTATATAATTTCGGATGATTTTATTGTCCTTTTCCCAATGAAAGGTGGCCTTAAGTAATATATTAAGGGAAAACATAATTTTATGTTCCTACAATTTCTTAAGTTTTATTATAGATCTCTATACTTTTTTCAATGTTTTGGATTTCTACACTTTCTTTTTGTGTCATAAATCTCTCCATAAGTAGTATTATAGGAACTTATAATATCAAAAAAATAAAAATATAGGAATTTAAAGCATTAAAAAAAATACAGGGATCTATAATAAAAATTGAACAAAGTGTAGAGACTTAAATTTATATTTTTTTCATATATTAATGGGCATTTGGAGAACAGTGGCATGGCATTATATGTTATTTATGATAATCATGTACCAAAATTAAAACGAGAATGTACAATTTCAAAGCGGTATAATAGTTCCAACCTCCACCCTCACCCATAATCAAGCTTTATTTGTTAACATTTCCATTTCCGTTAATATTATTTCAAAGTGAGCGAAAAAATTAATTTGTAAATTTGAATTCAACTATTCCTGTGGCCAAAAACAAATGTTATCAATAAGCATATATAGGATAATCACATTTCCTGTCCTAAAATATAATCTTATTCTCTCTCCCTCCCTCTCTCTCTCAACGTCTTGAAATATAATAAGGGCCTTCATCTGCCCGTTTGTTTAGATTATTAAGTATATCTCCTCTTGTATCTTTTCTTACGCTCTTGATTTCTTGTTTCAAGAGAACCAAACTTTGTTGCTTACCATTAGAGTAATGTGAAAAAAAAAAAAATTAGTTCGATAGAGGGAGGGAGGAAGGGAAGATTACATCTTATTCGAAGGATTGTACGGTCAAACAATGACTCGCTTGATCATTGAAGAATGCAATAAATAATTAGTTAGATAGTTAATATCAAATACATTATTCACACATATCCGATGAAGATTTCAGTGAAGGAAGAAATAACCTCTGAGAAGACACGATTTAACACAAATAAGATAGAATATATAATTGCAAGTTTGAATTCAAAGTTATTTGGACTCTTTCTAAAGGAGCCAAGGCCTGTATCATATATATATATATATATATATACATGCATCAAGAGATCATTGACAATATGATACAATAACTGCAACTTTGTTGGCGAAAAATAAATAACTGCAAGTTTGAATTCATTACTCATATAGAAACAGATACATCGGCAGCAGCGCAGCGCACAACAGAGCGAGGTGGATACGTTATCGCTAACAAGCTTTCAAGGGAAAAAAGATCAAACGGTAGTGACTAGCTTGCATGTAGAATCTAAAGCGGAGAATAAGTTAACATAAAAAAGCAAGAAAATCCAGCCAACAACGTCATCCAAGTCAGAAAAAATTACGAAGTTATTGGGGAAAGCGTTTCATTCTTCAATAGAGCTTTAATTTAGCAATCGCTGCGGAGGCAGTCTTGGTCTTGGAGCTCAGTCACGTGCATCGTACGTAGAGGCAATCATTACTTGTTGCCTAATTAATTTGCTCTTCGTTTTGACGAAGGATTGCACATGTATGATTTTTCATTCTCCGAATCCACCATTGGACACAATCCTTCCGATCCAAGATAAAAGATTGGATAAATGTGCATTTTTATTTTTAAAATTTTTTCAAATAAACAATAAGTATTTTAAAGTATTTCATATAGCATTTTACATCTTGTATAATTTAATCAGAGCCTCTGGTCCCTTGACGTTAAATCCTCGTGCATTGATGAGTTGGACTAAACTCTAACCGAGAAATCTTCAATCTCTTATTCCGCGTCACCACTTTGAGCCAAAACCATCCATTAGTTTTCAGTGTCTTCTCTGTCGAGAGCTTCGTCAGAAACCCCAAAGAAATCTCCTTATCTCCACCTCTTATACAGGGCTCCAAAGAAACCCACTTAGAAGAAATGGAAGACGATGATGATAACTCACTATCTCTTCGCCTCTCAAGCACATTGAATGCCAGAGAATACGAAAATATGCATAAATAATCAATGAACTAGCATGTTGGTGAACCAAATAAAATCGGAAGATCCATGACAATCCAAAAACAAAATTCAAATCAACAATGGAACGGAACTTTAATGAAATCAGATCTAGAAATTGAAGTAGACCAGAAACAAAATCAATGGAACTTTAATGCAATCAAATCCAGAAATTGAAGTAAACAAGAAATGAAATCAAAGAGACGTGTTCAAGGCAACAGCGGTTCATCCCTCAGGCTATATCGAGAATTGTGCCTCGGAGCAGGATTCCCTTACTGGCGTTGCCACTGTCGAGCACGTCCCCCTTAGCCGATTGGTCGACGGCAAGATAGAGTCGGCTTCCATGCTAAAGGGATCGTTGACACTGTCATGGCGCTTTTCCTTCGTCCTTTCTTGCCACAACCTCTCATCTTCTAGATGGCTCGGCTCGGTGCAGTCGCTTTTTATGTTCAGATTCTTAGCAATTGGACAATCTTGATTTCTTACTTTATATGTCTTGGATATTTTTACAGACCATGTAGATATCTCCCTTCCACCCATCAGGGAAAGGCTTTCTTGAGAACCCATCTTCTTCATAGAACATTTGCTAAAGATCAGAAAACCTTATCGCGTGGGAAGAAGAGAAAGAAAGCACAAGTAGATTTGGAGGGTGAGCTTCAGGGGACAATCAGACACTTCACGCTGTGCGCGAGTTAGAGCGGACTATCAAGCTTCTGTGTGGAGTGGATGATATCCGAGCAAAAATAAAGCGATAGTGATCGTGTGGTGGAGATGTGAGGTGACAGCAATGACGATGGAGTTGCAAGACGGTAATGGAGTTGAAGGATTCGACCTCTTCAATTTCTTCTTTGCTTTTCCGAAAGATTTTCCCTTCCCAAACACATTTTTAGGCCACCTCAGCTTCCCAATCAAAGACGCCCGTCCAACTAAGATCCATGTGGCCACCACATGCAATTTTTGGTCAAAGCCCTTTCTCTCTCTTTCAACTTCACAGTCAACGTCTATATATTTAATATTCGGGTAATAGATGTTCCAAATTAATTACTAAAAGGGCAAAGATGTTACACAAAATATTTTGAAATATTGGGTACTCTTTGAAAAAAATTTTAAGTTAAAAAATGTACCTTTACTCCAAAAGATTAATCTCAATTCCATTTTCACCATCTAACATGCTTTAACAAGAAGTTAAATAATTCTAACCAACCTCATTTTTATTTATTTATCATCACTATGTCAGCTTGTATTTCTTAATTTGTTCAAATTTTATTTATAAGTTAACCTTTTTTTGGCCAAATTCTTTATAAGTTATTTGACAACAACATTTTGCTGATTTTTTAATGATTAATAATTAATATTAAAGCTTGCACCCTAGAAGATTTTTACACCGCAAAATTCAAAAACTAAATTTATAAATATGTGTGGATCATATAGAATTTAGAAAATAATGATATAACAATTTTTTTATTGCAATGAATATATAATAGTCAGGATTTTCCATCAATTGAAATTATCAAACATTTATAAAAGTATTTAATTTTCTCTATATATTTCACGTTGCGTTGTTAAAATTCTGTTATGTTTATGATTTAATATCTGACGGAGCCTCTCATCTCATACATGACAGACTTTTTGCTTCTGCAAATCTGCAGTGCATGGCGCGGCACGATTTCATTCATTTTCCTCCACTGTCTTCTTATCTTTCTCTTCCTATTTTGTCTCCATCTTTCACATTAACAACCTTGAAAACAACAGTTACCCCAAGAATAGTACAGGCTCTAATTGAATCAAAGCTATATATATTGGACTTTTCTCCTTCTTTTGCATTGGGCAATACACCTTTCTGCTTCTTTTGTATTGGCCAATAGTACATTGGCCCATGGAGTCTCTTGGCTACACCATGTCTCGGATCTCATTCTCACGTCGCGTGCTTCTTTTATGCTTAGCAACCACATTATTGAACCCTGCCTTTGGTACTCCGGCTTGTGAATTCCCCGCCATCTTTAACTTTGGTGACTCTAACTCCGATACCGGCGGCATAGCTGCGGCCTTTCTTGCCCCACCGAAACCGTACGGGCAGACCTATTTTGAAAGACCTTCGGGAAGGGTCTCCGATGGTCGTCTCATCATCGATTTCGTTGGTATACCTATGTCCGGATGTTTAACTAATGTCTTTATCTTCATTGATCGATTTAATCCATGATACCTTAACTAACATTTATGCCAGACATTTCGTTTTAGGGAAATAGCAAAATATTCTTCATGGTTTACTGCTTTATGGTATTGGGTGTTGCTCAAAGGCAAAAAAAAAAAAAAAAAAAATCTTGATTTTCATGTTTGTATAATTTCAGCACAAAATTTTGGACTCCCACATCTGAGTGCATATCTAAACTCTCTGGGTGTCAATTTCACACATGGAGCAAACTTTGCAACAGCAGGGTCATCTATCAAGCCCCCACCATGTGGCGATCAATTCAGTCCTTTCTTCCTTGACTTACAATTCAATCAATTTACAGAATTCAAAAACAAAACGCAGTTTATTAGACGTCAAGGTATATAATCTTTATGCTAATTAACCTTGAGTTTTCACTAAGCCGCTGGCCAACATATTATAGTTAGCTTGCTTTAAACATTAATTAGCCATTAACACATTTTGGCAGGAGGAATATTCGGAAGCTTGATACCCAAAGAAAAGCATTTTGTGAAAGCATTATATACATTTGATATCGGTCAAAATGATCTTGGTGCTGCCATTCATGGGAATAAGACTCTGCAAGAAATCAAAGCCTCTATACCTGATACGGTCAACAGCTTTTCAGCTAATGTTAAGGTAGTTTAATATGTAATGGGCTCATTATTTGGGTAATGCATTATGTTGATGCTCGGAATTTTACTAATATAAATTGTTGTTGTTGTAAATTGGTGAACTTGGGAATCAAAGAACATATACAATTTGGGAGCTAGATATTTCTGGATACACAACACAGGACCCATCGGGTGCCTCCCTTACACATTGGTCAGGATATCAGGCCAACGAGATGAATCTGGTTGTGTAAAGCCTTACAATGAGTTGGCTCAATATTTCAACTATAAGTTGAAAGAAGCCGTAGTTCAACTCCGAAAAGATCTTCCTCATGCTGTAATAACGTACGTAGATATCTACTCTGCGAAGTACTCTTTGATCAGCAATGCAAAGAAATACGGTGAGGCTGGTGAACAATAATCATTTTTGTGGGGCAAATTGAAAACTTAATATTCTATACAAAGGATACGAGAAGTGAAGTGGGTTCATGAATTTGCAGGATTCGAGGAGCCAATTGTGGCATGTTGTGGTTACGGAGGGGAATACAACTATGGCATTGTGCAATGTGGAAGAACAAAGATGGTGAACGGTACCGAAATATATGCTGGATCGTGCGAAAAACCGTCAGTGAGAGTGAACTGGGATGGGATTCATTACACAGAAGCGGCTAACAAGTTCATCTTCGATCAAATCTCCACCGGGGCTTTCTCTGATCCACCCGTTCCCCTAAACATGGCGTGTCACAGACATTAATTTCAACAAGTCTCGCTGCTAAAAATTGATTGAGATGGCTGCTATTCCCCATCACTTCGGTTGAAACCATTATCTTTTTGTGTTTTAATTATATAAAAAAAATTAAGGGTTTATAAATCGATCGGGGCAAAGAGTGTCTTAACTCTAACTCCAATGGGCTAGAATCCTGAATCACTAAAATGATATCAGCATTGTACCAAATCGTGGTCAGCAAAATATTTTGATTTAGCGATGATGTGGTGAACGGGGGGCCATATTAGCTGATGTTGTCATTGTTTCTTGTGTAACTAAAATTAAACATCAGATATGTTACAATGATGGGACCAAGACAATTTGAAGTAGACTTTAGCAACTTCTCCAATCTCCGCAATGCTCGCAATAATACTGACAAAAATGGTTAATATATACTGGACTATGTTATTTTCATATGATAAAATTATATATTGACATTCAATGTTCCAAATCCATTATACAAGTGATCATTCAAAGATTAAATTTTAAATGCTAACATTACATTGTGAACAAATTAAAACGGTAAAATTCAAGCCATGCTACTAAGTACTTGTTTGGTTTAGCAGTGAAAGTCTATATAATCTCGTTTATGTCCATATAAGTGATTATGAAACTCATTTGCACTGTTTGAATAATTTTTTTTTTTGAAAACCCATATCAATTGTGATTTCGATTCTTTACCGTACGTTGGGTAGAAACTATCAGAAGGTGCAATTTTAATTAATGTCACTTTTGAAAATCATGATTATCAATTAGATCTATTCCCTTATAATCTTTGTCATGGAAATCTTCTACCTTTTTTATATTTTTTTAACCGGAGCTATGTTACTTTACAAATCATTCCTCACCCTTTGGTACTTCCTTTTATTTACATGACATATTGTTCTACAAAGGTTGAATCCTAGAAAAAGAATTAAATTAATAAAAACTATATGTAATAAAATTTCTTTTTTCTTTTGAAAAAAGAACTTTTCAAACAATGGAAGGAGATAAAAAATTTTCACGAAGAATCTGAAGTGAAGTTTTCATTATAATCAATGCACATAATTAATACTTATGTCTATAATTTCTAAAAAAAAGTTAATTACTGTGATTTCCCTTTAATTGCTAGGCAGATAGTTGACTTAGTCATTAGGATAGACCGAGTTAAGATGCAATGTACATTCGAAAGTGGTTAATGCACACTAGAGGAAACTTGACAGCCCTATTCAAAGGAATCAAGGGTTGGGATTGGGGTTAGTATTAAATAATGCCACATTTTTATGTTTGGTGTGGAGGAATGAGAAATTTAATATCAATATCAAAGCCCTTTAGAAGGGATTACTTAGTATCACCTATCCTTCCAGTATTAAAAAATCAATATTGTAATTCATTATTTCCTAATCAAATCGTCCTCCTACTCCCCCCTCTCATCTCTCCCTCCCCCTCCTTCCTCCTCTCTCATTTCTCCCTCTGCCATCCAACCCTTCTCTGTCTCATCTCTCCCATAGACAACCACGGTCCTTGCCAATGCTGCTCTCACGAGTTTTGTAAAATCCATGTCTGTGCGGCCGTAGACCCATTTAGATGTTGTGGCAACAAGAAGCTCAAATTTGTGTCAAACTCATGACAAGTGCATATGACAAATGCAACAAATAGGTTGATCTCATAACAGGCTCAAGGAGGAAGGTGCATTGAATTCACGGTGACAACAAGGGAAAAGTGAAGGTGGGTCATGGAGATGAATATGGATTTTTTGAACTGGGATATAGATGTTTTAAACTTGCAAATACGTGTTGAACATAGTTCAATGAAGCTTAAGCTTCCGATTTGAAGAGCACAAAAAATGGAAGGATAGAAGGAAGAAGGCAAGGACAATTGTGTCTTTTAGCTCATTTTTTTTGTTTCATCTAACTATCAGTCTTATTTTTTTAATCCCATTACATACTAAATACGCTCACCATCCCAAATTATAAGACACTTTTAAGGGAGATTTGCCGTCTTAAAATGTACTCCCTCCGTTTGAAATTATAGGATATTTTTAAAGAAATTTCTCAATCTTAAAATACAAGATATTTTAGATAGATCAAGATTTCATTAAATATATTAATTTTAATATTACCCTTTCTCTTTCTATAATAAATTTTTGTCCCTACTCTTTTCAATATATTAAATGATGAATATTTTTAAAAGTTTTTATTTTTGCTTTGAAAAGATAAAGTTGTTAAGTATATTTAATGAGGTTTATTGGTATGTAAAATTTTGTCTAAAAGTATTTTATAATTTGAGATAAAGGGAGTAAGATACTTTGAGAATATTAAAGTTTCATTAAATATACTTATTCTAATATTATCCTTTCTCTCTCTATTTAATACTAATTAAGTGTAAATTTAAGATTATTAAATGAATGATATTTTTGAAAGTTAATATTTTTATTTTGAAAGATAAAATTGTTAAGTGTATTTAATAAGGAATATTGATATGTAAAATTTTATTAAAAAATATCTTATAATTTAAGACTGAAGGAGTATGATTTTATTATGTACTCATTACCAATCCCAATATCATTCTTAGTCTTTCAAGGAGGAGGGGTAACAACAAACCCATAATAGATGACATTATTTTTACTCTTTAGAGCCATTCTAACGATCTCCAGAGGATGTTAATGCCAAGAACTAGTCATTTAATGGTCCTTTATTACTTGTAGCTCTTGCATAGAAAAAATTGAAAAATAAATTTTAATCTTTTGGTCTTTTCGCTCCATTGTTATTAATTATTATAATCTGGCATCATTATTAATGTTGGGAAAAAGTGATATCCAGTCGCTGCAATTGTTTCTCTGTGGAATAATAAATGTCGAATTTAAATATGATTATCATCACCACCTCATGTTTTCGCTTTTTTTTTTTTGTAAAAAAAAAAAAAACAAGAAGAAGAAGAAAGAAAGTGGCATGCATACGCTTAACAGATAAAACAAAACTGAAAGAGGGAGAATCCAGGGAGGAAATATTAGGAGGTAAATGGGGCCCTAGCTGTATATTAGAATTACTCCAAGGACTATGCAATCATGCAGTTGATCCTTGTCTGTCGGTTCAAGAAAGGTTCCTTCTGATCACTTGATGCCGGCGCCGATGGGGTCTCCTAGTAAGTTTGCCATCCCATTCCTCTCTTGTTTGCTGTATGTGGTTGTTGCTTTCCTACCAGCTTCCAACCCTGCATTGGCCGCTCAAGTTTGTGAATTTCCGGCCATCTTTAACTTCGACGACTCTAACTCCGATACGGGCGGCTTTGTTGCTGCCATTTGGACACCACCCCTCCCTTATGGCCAGACCTATTTTCGTCAGCCTTCTGCAAGGTACTACGATGGCCGTGTCATCATTGATTTCATCAATATTTATTCATTTCATCTTCGCTCTCTTTACTAATTCTTTAATTCCCCCACTTCTATCACATTTATTCTGCGGAAGCTTAATTAATTGCTCTGTAATGTCGCATTATAGCAATAGGTTGACAGAATGATAGGGTAATCAATAAAAAAGACATTTATTAATATTCAACTCTTATTTCAGCTGAGAGTTTTGGACTTCCTTATCTCGACACGTATCTTAATTCACTGGGGACTAATTTTACGCACGGAGCAAACTTCGCAGCTTCAGCATCCACTGTCAAACTCCCCTCCACTATTTTACCTCAACCCCATGGATTCAGCCCTTTCTACCTTGAAATACAGTACAATCAGTTCGTGGCATTCATGTCCAATTCAGATTTTATCAGGCAGCGAGGTGAACGATTTGTGTCGGTTGATATTTTGAACTTGATTTAATTCTCATTAATATGAAACACAATTCATTTTGGCGCCATTGTTGCAGGAGGGATATTTGCGAGTTTGATGCCAAAGCATGAATATTTTCATGATGCGTTACACACATTTGATATTGGTCAAAATGACCTTGGCCTTGGTTTTTTTAGCAACAAGACTTTAAAGGAAGTCAATGATTTTGTACCCGATTTAATCGACAATTTCTCAAGAGATGTTGAGGTAGTTTAATACTCATCATCAAGAACTGTTTGAATTATGGTTGAGTCCAACTTTTGACTAATTTAATGATCTTGTAAATTGATGGACATGAAAATCAAGTACGTACACCATTTTGGGGCTAGATATCTTTGGGTACACAACACAGGCCCCATTGGCTGTCTCCCTTATATTTTGGTCAAGTTTCCAACAGCTGAACGAGATGAGTTTGGGTGTGCAAAGGCTTAATACTTTAACCGAAAGTTAAAAGAAGCTACAGCTAAACTTCGGCAAAGCCTTTCTTCTGCTGCGGCAATCACATACGTTGACGTGTATTCTGTGAAGTATTCTCTTTACAGCAACCCGGACAAATATGGTGAGCCGAACTGGTAATGACATTTTTTTGCACAAACTTGATTAATTAGCAGCTATATTAATGATGATGTGGATGTGTGTGTGTGTGCAGGACTTGAGAAGCCACTAGAGGCATGCTATGGGCATGGAGAGGAGTACAACTATGGGATTGTAGGATGTGGGTTCTCAAAAGTGGTGAATGGAAGTGAGGTATATGGAGGGGCTTGTGAGAGACCATCTGTGAAGGTGAATTGGGATGGCATTCACTATACAGAGGCTGCTAACAAGTTCGTCTTCCATCGTATCTCTTCCAGAGCTTCCTCTGATCCTCCAGTCACCTTGAACATGACTTGGCATCTCCTCCAAATTTAACTCGCAAATATTATTAATCTTGCGGCTCTCGTTTTCGCTGCTGCTTTCATTTATATCTAAATTAATAATGTTTGTTTTTCCTCTTAAATTACAACTTATGACCCTGTTGCTTCGTTGCCAATTCAATTCTTATATTCTTCGCATATATTGATCGGCTTTATTACTTTAACAAGGGCAATACTACTATAATTATGTTCTTGCCGCTGAAATAATTAACTAGTCAATGCTATTATAATTTTGTCAATGTATTGCCGTGCAAGTAAGCTAATTTAATTCCTTTTCAGTTTGGTGTAATTTGACTTCAATTGATGAAAAAACAATGTACAGATCGATATTGAATGTAATACATACATAACATACTTATTCAATGCCATTGCAAACGTGCAATGGTAATCAATATTGCATTATTATTGGGAGAGTGGTTAGCTTTTTAGGTGGATTCATGGTAATTACCATATCACACATCATTATCAAAATGATTATAATACCCATTCATATGTCCCCTCTATGAATGTTTATTGTGTTAGATTTCTTATATTAAGTATGTTTAAAAATAATATATTCTATTAAAATAGCTTAAGTCCTTTGATTAGGTAATTTCTAAGTTTATATATTTATAATC